GGCTAGGGGAGTGGCCAATTAGCCCCAAGCCTTACTCTCAAGGAGACCTCCTCCTGAGGAGCCACTCCTGCCTTTTGGCAGCTCTGCGCGCTCGTGCATCGAGAAGAGGCTCCTCCTCTTCTTCCTCTTCACTTAAGGGAGCTTCTGGAGGTTCTGACTGAATCCCCGCCTCTGGGACCACATCTTCTCCAGCCTCCTCATTGTCTGACTCGAGTGCCAGCTGCACAGGCTGATGGCGCAGCACCACACCAGCCTCCTCACTGTCTGAATCAGTTACTAGTTGCAGAGGCCACTGACGGCCGACAACAGTTAGTCTGTTCCCTTCATCTGATGCTTTTATTTCATCTGCAGTGGTTTAAAGCGTCTTCTGATCTCTAGTATCAGATTTCCTTAGAAGATCGATTGCTCGTGCACAAGAGCGAAATCCTGCCTAGACAGCACGATACTGTAAATTTTGGGGTGTCCACCGTGAGCTTTTAAAAGCAATTTTTTCCCCCCTACACGGACACACCACGCCTTTGCAGATCTTACATCCAGGAGTGAAATCAAACCAACAGATTTCAAAATGCTTTTTGGCATGAAGAGGGCTGACCCATTAAAAAGGGATGTTCCAAAATGTTTTTCTCTCTCTCTCTTGTCACGATTCTTCTAGAATTAACAGTTGGCTAAGAGAGTGACCTCTATGAGACTAAAACATACACACACAAAAAAAAATATGAAAAACATCTGGTTAGTCTTCTTTTAAGCCATTTTTGTTGTGTAGTTTGGAGAGAAACGGCATTCCAGAAGGGTGATGTCAAAATTGTAGAGTTGGCAGTCAAGATGAACAAGGGACAGGATCCAACATCATGAAAAAGTTGCTTCAGGGTGAAGACCGGTGTGTATTGTGAGATTGTGTATCTTGTGTGTTTGTGAGAACCTCCTTAAAGAGGTTAACATGGTTTGGAATTAAGAGAGACACCCACAGCTTGTATGAAGATGTTTCAAGTTGTTGTTGTTGTTGTTGTTAGTTGTGAAGTTGTGTCCGACCCATCGTGACCCCATCAACAACATTCCCCCAGGCCTTCCTGTCCTCTACCATCCTCTGGATTCCATTTAAGCTCACGCCGACTTCTTCAGTGACTCCATCCGGCCACCTCATTCTCTGCCGTCCCCTTCTTCTTCTTTTGTCCTCCATCCTTCCCAGCATTAGGCTCTTCTCCAGGGAGTCCTTCCTTCTCATTAGGTGGCCAAAGCATTTGAGTTTCCTCTTCAGGATCTGGCCTTCTAAAGAGCAGTCAGGGTTGATCTCTAGGACTGACCGGTTGGATGGCCTTACAGTCCAAGGGACTCACAGGAGTCTTCTCCAGCACCAGAGTTCAAGGGCCTCCATTCTTTGACGCTCGGCCTTCCTTATGGTCAAACTTTCACAACCAATGTTTGAAGTAGGCATGGACAGTCTTGTCACCACACGTCTAATTCAAAGGTCCATCTCTCCAGAATCATGTAGAAAAACATTAGGTTCTTTCTGAAGGTTCTACAAGCTTCATCCATCCACTCCTAAACTTCTTGGATCCAAGCATAGCCCCATTCTCTTCTGGCCTATCCTTGGGGGAAAAAAATTGCTCCTCCGTGACGGTGAAGGAACCGTCTCTTAGTCAGCATCCACATCATGCCACCTTGACCAACTGGTTGGGAAAGTGGGAGTAGATCAGGGGTGGGATCTATTTATTTATTTATTTTTAAAATTTTTATACCGCCCCCTCTCCCGAAAGACTCGGGGCGGTGAACAGCCAAAATTAAAAAACATACAATATAAACATTAAAATACTATAAAACAAAATTAAATTCAGCCACTTAGGACCAATTCGGGAGAACCGGATGCTAATTTTACAACTGGTTCGCTGAACCGGTAGTTGCTAGGACTGGTTGACCCCGCCCCTCCCAGGAGTCTCCACGCGGCCCGGTTTGGATGCCAGGTAAGTGCAGGGCTCAGGCGGAGGCTCTGGGAAGATGAAAAACGGGCGTCCTGGAAGTGTGGAAATGGGCCCATTTCCAGAGCCCGCGGGAGGCCGTTTTCGCCCTCCCGGAGGCTCAAGAAAAGCCTCCGGAGCCTGGGGAGGGCGAAAACACCCTCCGCCCCTGCCGTGGTACAGGAGGCCTAATAGGCCATGGATGCCCACCCAGCAAGCAGGCAGAGAACCGGTTCCTAAAATTTTTGAATCCCATCCCTGGAGTAGATCAACTAGAAAGGTTCTCCTCGTTGGAGGAAGGTCCTCTTTGGCTTTTCAGCTCTTTGGATTTCAAGGAAGGAGTCGGTCTTTCTCCACCTTTTGAGGAGGTGACCCCGATTTTGAAACAGGAAGTGAGGTCTTTGTAGCCTTCAGGGACATTTGCATGGTTCCAGACGCAGGGGCCACCTCCATTTGAGAACGTCTATTTAAGGCACAGGTTGAGTTTTTCAGCTTTGCTGCAGGAGAGGACCAATCAACCCAAGGGGCTCACCAGATGCATCCCCAACTTTCCATGCGAGAGAAAACCATCCTAAGATGTGCATCTGGCCACTGCGTGATGGAGCCAGCGAGAAACCAGACAAATGACTGATCTTCTCATGATGTTGCTCACCTCTGCTTGTGGGTTATCTTTTCCGTTCCTCCCTCCCTTCGCTTCCTTCCTTTGCATCCGGATTCTTCTGGTCAAATCTGTCTTCTTTTTTTCCACCGATGGTTGTGGGTCAAGCATTGCCTTGTAAATTTGGGGCATTGCCTTTCTTTTTTATTTTATTTTTGATGGTGCAGTGCTTCCGATGTTGCGTTGCAAAATCAAATCAAATAGGACCACGTTGATTCTCTAAACCTCATGGCCTGGTTGACGGGTTAAATCCTGATTTACTAGCAGCAGGGACCACATCTTGTTCAGCTTTGCATTGTCACAAACCACAAATAGTGATTTAGAGCAGTGGGGGGGAAACAGACTGTTGTCTTCAATGAAACTGGAGCTGGCTTCTCTCTCTCTCTCTCTCTTTCTCTCTTTCTTTCTTTCTTTCCTTTCTTTCTCTTCTATCTTTCTTTCTCCCTCTTTCTTTCTCTCCCTCTCTCCCTCTTTCTTTCTCTGTCTTTTTTTCTTCCCTCTTTCTTCCTCTCTCCCTCTTTCTTTCTTTCTCTGTCTCCTTTCTTTTCCTTCCTTTTCTTCCTTCCTGCCTGCTCTCTTTCTTTCTCTTTCCTTTCTTCTATCTTTCTCCCTCTTTCTTTCTCTCTCTCCCTCCATCCCTCTTTCTTCTTTCTTTTCCTTCCTTCCCTCCCACCCTCTTCCTTCCTTCCTTTCCTCCTTTCCTTCCCTCCATCCCTATTTATTTATTTATTTATTTATTTATTTATTTCTCTTTCCTTCCATCTTTCTTCCTCTTTCTTTCTCTCTCCCTCTTTCTCTCTCTCTCTCTCCCTCCCTCCCTTTTTCTTTCTTTCTCTGTCCTTTCTTCTCCTTCCTTTCCACACACCCTCTTTCTTTCTTTCTCTCTCTCTCTCTTTCTTTCTTTCCCCCTCCCTCTCTCTCTTTCTATTCATCTGGTCCAACTCGAATTAAAGCTTCTGCAAGCCTCCTCCTCCTCTTCAAGCTGACCATTTCCCCCACCCCCTTAGCCAGCTGCATCTTTTCCTTGATGTGGGCAGTTGCATTTTTCCCCCACTTTGCTTCTTTTCGGAAAAACACTCAAGGAAACAACAGTGTGAAATGAGCTGTTCCAGAAAATGGATCGGCCGGAGCTTACAGGAGGGAGGAAAAAAATGGGTGTTATTTTGAAGTATGTGCTCTCGTCCGAGAGCAATAGATTGACGAGAATTTCTATACAGATACAGATTGAATTACAACAGTTCATTTAGCAGCTATTTGAAGCTTCAAAAGCACTGAATAAAGTGACTTATGACCGTTTTTCACACTTATGACCGTTGCACCGTCCCCGCGGTCAAGTGATCAAAATTCAGGCACCTGGCAACCGACTCGCATTTATCACAGCTGTTGTGTCCCAGGATCAGGTGTTCCCCTTTTGCAACTTTAGAATAGAATAGAGTTGGAAGGGACCTTGGAGGTCTTCTAGTCCAACCCCCTGCTCAACAGGGAAGCCAGATTCACTTCGCAGCTGCGTCACTAACTGAACAACTGCAGCGATTCCCCGGACAACTATGGCAGGAAAGGCCATAAAATGGGCCAAAACTCACTGAACAAATTAGCAACAGAAAATTTCGGGCTCAGTTGTGGTCGTATGTTGAGGGCTACCTGGGTACGGAACTGGCTTTCCTTCCAAGGGGATCCTTGTAGCTTGATCTTCCCCAGCTTCAACCGTTGTTGTGGTCCGCCAGCAGTCTGCGGAGCTGACAGCAGAGTCGGACAGTGAGGAGGCTGGGGAGGACAATGGGCCAGTCCTGGAGTCAGGGGAAGACCCAGACGAGGGCTCTGCATCAGAGGCAGAGCTGGGGCCAGGGCCATCTGGGAGTTATGTGCTGACTCCAGAGCCCCCAGAGTCGGACAGCAGAGAGGCAGAAGAACAGGAGGAGCCTGTTCCTAGTGCATGCATGCGCAGATCTGTCAGAAGGCACAAACAATTAAAACAAAAGGGACGACTTGGGAGTAAGGCCAGGAGATGATTGGCCCCTCCCATAAGGCTTTAAAGAGCAGCAAAGGCTCTTGGGCTCTTTGTAGGAAAGCAACGTTGCTAACTCTGTTTCCAGTCAGCATCTCTTGTTTGTTTCTGAACTTCATGGGGCTTTGCCAAGTAAGGCCTTTGGCAGGGTGTCAAAGAAGATAAAGGTTGGTGATTATCCCGAAGGATTTCTTCCGAAGGACTTGTTTTGCAACTAATTGGGACTCAGCTGGGAATGAACGTAATTCTCAGCTGTTACAATAAAATAGGTTTGTTTGGGACTAATTGTGCATTGTAATTACTCAGTAAGCCTAGGTCACAACAAACGATAAAGTTGCATCTTTTGTTTTTGTCATTTCCCCCCCCTCCCCCCCCCCCCCCCCAGGGAAGAAGTTCAAGAGAACTGTGTCCGTTGGAAGAAGAAATTTACCTTCATCTGCAAAATGAGTGCGAATCCTACCACAGGACTCCTGGACCCCTGCATTTGCCGAGTCTCGGTCCGCAAAGTGAGTCTTTTGATTTTGGGCTGGGACGCTATCAGAGTTTCTTGCGAAAATCAAATCCAGAAGCACACACAGACAAACTGATTCAGCAGGATTCATGTAACTTCTCTTTATATACATAATAACAGAAGTAAGTTTTACAATACCAATAGTAGAGTTCTTTCAACGTAGTAGCAGTTACAAGAAAAACACAAGGCAGGAGAGAACAGTTAGTTTCATTTCAGCAGAGCAGGCTAGTTTCAGTTTCTCTGCACAGACTCGGAAGCTGCAGACCAAGACACGCACTGGCTCCAGTCTGTCTCAGCTCTCAAAGAGTCCTCATTGGCTGACTTAGTTGCTAGCCTATACATTGGCTGACCTTGTTACCATGTCCTATTCCAGTTGATGAATATACTCTGACAGACGGAGCCTCATTGGTAAAACCTCTGGGCTCCCCACAGCTGTTGTAAAAACTCCCCTGCGGAGATGTCTTTGAGTCATAACCCCAAATACAGGAAAAAGCCCTCTTTTTTTGGGGAGGGGGGGAGCCTATCTGGCTAAGGCTCTGCCCTCTCCAGATCCTTCAGAGAGATTTTTTCCAAGCATCTTATTACAATTGGTCCTCGGCTTACAACCGTACAAAAATTACGACGGGCCTCTTTGCAGTGCATTTCGGGCACTTGGCAAGCAGCCCACATTTGTGGCTGTTTGCATCATCATCATCATCATCACATTTTATATGCCACTTTGCCCAAAACTGCCATTTATTAAACTGTTTTCGGCAAAACTGGCCGTGGCAAACCGTTGTTTTGCTTAACGACCGGGAGGGGGGGGCGTTCACTTAACAACTGCTGTGAGAAAGGTCGTAAGATAAGGTCAGTAATTTTACGACTTGCAACCGTGATGGGCAGGCTCCATTATGGTCATAAGACGAGGACTACCTGTACTTATTTATTGGTTCGATTTCTATGCTACCCTTCTCCGGAGACCCAGGGCGGCTTACAATGCGTTAAGCAATAGCTTTCATACTTTTGTATATACCTGCTTAGTAGGGCTTTCGGCCCCCCCAAGCGGTGTTCTTTTTTTATACAAAGTCAGCTTATTGCCCCCACAATCCGGGTCCTCATTTTACCTACCTCGGAAGGATGGAAGGCTGAGTCAACCTTGAGCCTGGTGAGATTCGAACTTGCAGTAATTGCAGGCAGCTGGTGCTACTGAACAGCACTTCAGTCTGCTGCGCCACCAAGGCTCTTCTTAAAAGATTACTTAAAAAAGAAAACTTAAAAGATCTTGCCAGCTACCATTCTGTTTGCAAACTCCTCTTGGGTGAAGCCTAGGAAAAGTAAGTTTAAATAAATAGGGCTCCTCACCTGAAAACCCCCAACCACGTACTTGCTCTCCCCTTTGGAGGTGGTCAGTGAGATCTTGTTCTTGTCCTGGAAAGATTGACCCTCCTGTCCAAACTTTCAAAAAAAATCCTTAAAAACTGGTACCTTGCTCAATAGTGGTGACTGAGAGAGGGATCTTTGCGTCCTAGTGGACAACCATTTAGATATGAGCCAGCCGTGTGCAGCAGCTGCCAAAAAAGCCAACACAGTTCTGGGCTGCATTAACAGAGGGATAGAATCAAGATCACATGAAGTGTTAAGATCACTTTATAAGGCCTTGGTAAAGCCACACTTGGAATATTGCATCCATGATTGCCACGATGTAAAAAAGATGTGGAGACTCTAGAAAGAGTGCAGAGAAGAGCAACAAAGAGGATTAGGGGACTGGAAGCTAAAACGAGTCACAAGTTTTCAGCGCAGGAAGAAATCTTTCCTTCCTGGACAGTATTGAAAACCAAGCCTGTCTCTAAACCTAGTTCCCGATGACTATGCAAAGCAGGTGGCTCAACTTTGTTGACCAAGCCAAGGTTGGCTGCATTAACAGAGGGATAGAATCAAGAACACGGGAAATTTTTCACTTGTTAGTCTTAATTGCACTTTTAACTGTTAAATTATGAGATTTGGATTTAATTTCTTTTTAACTTTTTCATTAGATGTTTTTTACTGTTGTGAGCCACCCTGAGTCCGGCTGGAGATAGGGCGGTATATAAATCTCAATAATAATAATAATAATAATAATAATAATAATAATGTGTTAGTACCACTCTATAATGCATTTTGGTAAGGCCACACTTGGAATACTGCATCCAGTTTTGCTGGCCACGATGTAAAAAAGGTTGTTGAGACTCTAGAAAGAGTGCAAAGAACAGCAACAAAGAGGATTAGGGGACTGGAGGCTAAAACATATGACGAACGGTTGCTAGAATTGGGTATTTCTAGTTTTATGAAAAGAAGGACCAGGGGAGACATGATAGCAGTCTTCCAATATCTCAGGGGTGGCCCCAAAGAAGAGGTAGTCAAGCTATTCTCCAAAGCACCTGAGGGCAGGACAAGAAGCAATGGGTGGAAACTCATCAAGGAGAGAAGCAACTTAGAACTAAGGAGGAATTTCCTGACAGTAAGAACAGTTGACCAGTGGAACGACTTGCCTCCAGAAGTTGTGAATGCTCCAACACTGGAAGTTTTTAAGAAGATGTTGGATAACCATTTGTCTGAAGTGGTGTTGGGTTTCCTGCCTAAGCAGAGGGTTGGACTAGAAGACCTCCAAGGTCCCTTCCGACTCTATTATTCTATTCTATTCTAAAATTTCCATCCAAGCGCCAAACCAGCATCAAATAGCTTGGGTTGGGTCCCTCGTTTGTAAAATAACTTATGTTTCTCTTGAGTCCTTCTCCGTAAACTGACGTTCTCTTTTCTTTTTTGTTTCCTGTTGTGGCAGGAACTGAAGGGCGGGAAAGCCTATTCCAAGGTAAGAGAACACACCAAGCCATCCAGAGCAAAGCTGTGTTAGATGATGATCGGGTCTGGGTTTGCAAACACGCCTTCCCTCAGCCGTCTCTTGAAACTTGGGGGCAGATCTGGGTTCCTCTTCCTAAAATCCAAGAGAGTTTAGAAGATGCTGGTTGTAAAACGGCTAGAGATTGCAAAGTTAAGCAAGCCAATTTTGCACAGGGTCTCCAGAGCTCCTTTTAAACACCCTTCCCCAGAACCAGGAGTGATACCTGTACATTGTACCCTAAGTTTTAAAGTAATCTTGGGGTCTAGAGTTTAAAACAACTGTAGAGATCCAAAAAATTATCTAAAACCCGGAGGAAAAATAGCAAAGGTTTCTGAACATCCAGCGTAAGATGCTTCCTTCCGGCCCGAAATTGATCCCACCACCACCAAAACCTTGTTCAAACATGTTATAAGGTGTGAACCAAGCTATTCTCCAAAGCACCTGAAGGCAGGACAAGAAGCAATGAGTGGAAACTAATCAAGGAGAGAAGCAAGTTAGAACTAAGGAGAAATTTCCTGACAGTGAGAACAATTAATCAGTGGAACAACTTGCCTCCAGAAGTTGTGAATGCTCCAACACTGGAAGTTTTTAAGATGTTGGATAACCATTGGTCTGAAGTGTTGTAGGGTTTCCTGCCTAAGCAGGGGGTTGGACTAGAAGACCTCCAATAACTCTGTTATCCTCTTCTCCCCTCCCCTCCACTCCTCTCCTCTCCTCTCCTCTCCTCCTCTCTCCTCCTCTCTTCTCTTCTCTTCTCTTCTCTTCTCTTCTTTATAAAACATATAAAGAACGTTTGCTGGAATTGGATATGCCTAGTTTAATAAAAAGAAGGACCAGGGGAGACAGGATAGCAGTCTTCCAATATCTCAGGGGCTGCCCCAAAGAAGAGGGAGTCAAGCTATTCTCCAAAGCACCTGAAGGCAGAACAAGAAGCGATGGGTGGAAACTCATCAAGGAGAGAAGCAACTTAGAACTAAGGAGGAATTTCCTGACAGTGAGAACAATTAACCAGTGGAACAACTGGCCTCCAGAAGTTGTAAATGCTCCAACACTGGAGGTTTTTAAGCAGAGGTTGGATAACCATTTGCCTGAAGTGGTGTAGGGTTTCCTGCCTAAGCAGAGGGTTAGACTAGAAGACCTCCAAGGTCCCTTCCAACTCTGTTATTCTATTCTATTCTGACCTCTTTTTAAACCCCAATTTAGACACCCTGATGGCAGAAATCTGCAGGCCAGGCCATTGGAGACAAAGGCACTAATGGATTTCAGGGCCAGTCTTGGTTTGATGAAATCCATCACTTCTGGACCGCAGCGATAACAAAGGACTCTTAACAAGTCTAAAACAGGAATCTGGCCTGAAACAGAACCAAAACTGAGTCTTTACGGGTCATTTAACCCTGGCCTGCCTCTTTGGCCCGAGGCTATTTATAGTCTTCCCCTAAAAAATAAGACAAAGTGTAAAGTGTAAGATATAAATTCCGGCATGATTCATTGCTGAGGATAAACGAAAGACAGGTGTTTTTTTTTTTTTTCTCAGCTTGGCTGAGAAGAACAGAGATTTGTCGTGTAAGGACAACCTGTCCCCTGAACAGTGAAGCGTTCAAATTGTTCTAACGTTACACACCAGTAATTTTGCCAGTTGTAAAATACTGAAAATATATCTGTGTGTGTCTGTGTGTGTCTGTGTGTGTGTGTGTGTGTGTGTGTGTGTGTGTGTGGAGAGAGAGACAGAGACAGAAAAAAAGACAGTGAGAGAAAGAGAAAAAGAAAGAGAGAAGGGGGAACATAGAAAAAGAAAGAGAAAAAGAGAAAGAGAAAAAGAAAGAGAGACAGAGAGAGGTGGTACATAGAAAGAGAGAGAAAGAGAAAAAGAGAAAAAGACACAGAAAAAGAAAGAGACGGGGGACATAGAAAGAGAAAGAAAGAGAGAAAGAGAAAAAGAAAGACAAAAAGAGACAGAAAAAAGAGACAGAAAGAAAGAGAGACCAGAGGATATAAAAAGAGAAAGAAAAAGAAAGAGAAAGAAAGAGAGACAGAGAAAAAGAGAGAGACAGAGACAGAGAGACAGAGAAAGAGACGGCAGACATAGAAAGAGAGAGAGAAAGAAAGAGACGGGGGGACATAGAAAGAGAAAGAAAGAGAAAGAGAAAAAGAAAGACAGACAAAAAGAGAGAGAGACAGAAAAAAGAGACAGAAAGAAAGAGAAAGAGAGACCAGAGGATATAAAAAGAGAGACAGAGAAAAAGAGAGAGAAAGAGAAAAAGAAAGAGACGGCGGACATAGAAAGAGAGAGAGAGAAAGAAAGAAAGAGACGGGGGACATAGAAAGAGAAAGAAAGAGAAAAAGAAAGACAGACAAAAAGAGAGAGACAGAAAAAGAAAGAGACGGGGACATAGAAAGAAAGAAAGAAAGAAAGACAGAAAAAGAGAGACAGGAAAAGAAAGACAGGAAAAAAGAGAGATGGGGGACATAGAAAGAGAAACAGAGAGAGAGAGAGAGAGAGAGAGAGAGAGAGAGAGATCAAACGTCAGACACATTTCCCTGTCTGCTGTTAACTAGCTGTTGTCCATCCACTTACAAGATATCTGTACAAGGAGTCCTCGGCTTATGACCACAATGGAGCTCAACATTTCTATTGCTAAACGAGACATTTGTGAACTGAGGCTTGCCCCATTTAATGACCTTTCTTTCTTGCCCAGTTGTTAAGTGAACCACTGCCATTTTAAAGTCAGTAACAGGATGGATAAGTCCATCTGGCTTCCCCATTGACTTTGATCGTCAGAAGGTCGCAAAAAGGGATTTGCATGACCCCGGGACGCTGCAACCGTCATAAATACGAGTCAGTTGTCACGCGCCTGAATTTTGATCACATAACCATGGGGATGCTGCAAGGGTCATAAGGGTGAAAAGCAGTTGTAAGTCACTCTTTGTAACTTTGAATGGTCTCTAAACGAACCGTTGTAAGTCAAAAACTACCCATAGTTTCCCTACTATCCCTGAGGATTCAGGAGTCCCGGCTTGTGTTGTCTATTTGTCCACTCCTAACCGGCAAATGTGGGACACGGTGGCTCAGTGGCTAAGACACTGAGCTGGTCGATCGAAAGGTCAGCAGTTCGGCGGTTCGAATCCCCAGTGCCGCGTAACGGGGTGAGCTCCTGTGACTTGTCCCAGCTTCTGCCAACCTAGCAGTTCGAAAGCAGGTAAAAAATGCAAGTAGAAAAACAGGGACCACCTTTGGTGGGAAGGGAACAGCGTTCCATGCGCCTTTGGCGTTGAGTCATGCTGACCACATGACCACCGAGACGTCTCTGGACAGCGCTGGCTCTTCGGCTTTGAAACGGAGATGAGCACCGCCTCCTAGAGTCGGGAACAACTAGCACATATGTGCGAGGGGAACCTTTTTTTACCTTTTAACAACCTTTTCTGGAGATTTTGCAAATCTCTTCCCCCTGGCTCTTTTAATTTGCACAAAGTTAGCAACTCCTGCGTTGCGTTTATATCTAAACCTCCCTCCGTTTTTTTTGAAGCCAAGCCAAAAATCGAATCGACGCAGTTCACCCATAGACGGAGGGAGAAGAAGAAAGGAGCAGGCTGACCCGGTTCGGAACAAACTCAAAACTTTTTTTTTTTTTTTTAAGCTGTAAAACATCACACATAATTTGGCACGTCGGCGAAGAGAAACAGGAAGTGGGTTTCGTGCAAAGACTCCGCGTGCAATTCTGCCACGCGGTTTCCGAATCGCTCACAGGCTTCGGAGAACAGTCGAAAGATTGGTTTAAATGTGGTTTTGGGGTTTTTTTTGGTTTTTTTTTGCAGCTGTGGGAAGAGGGGAAACTGCAGGAAATGTCACCCCCCATCAGCCACCCCCGGCCTGTTTCTGTGGGTCTTCTGCAACACAACATCTGTGTCGAGACTAAAAGCTAAATTTGATTGTGTCTCTTTGGCCTTGAAAATGAAGTAAAATCAAAAGCATCCCCCTCCCTCCCCATTCTTCTTCTAGTTGTGCCTTTAATCAGTTTGTCTCTAATCAGACCCTGGAGAACCTCTTAACACTCTTACACCGGGGCTGAAATCCAGCAGGTTCTGACGGGTTCTGGAGAACCGGTAGCGGAAATTTTGAGTAGTTCAGAGAACCGACAAATGCTACCTCTGGCTGGCCCCAGAGTGGGGTGGGAACGGAGATTTTGCAGTATCCTTCCCCTGGAGTGGGGAGGGAATGGAGATTTTGCAGTATCCTTCCCCTGGAGTGGGGAGGGAATGGAGATTTTGCAACATCCTTCCCCTGGAGTGGGATGGGAATGGAGATTCCCATGGAATCACCTGGAATGGTGATTTTGTAGTATCCTTCTCCTGGAGTGGGGAGGGAATGGGGATTTTACAGTATCCTTCCCTCTGGAGTGGGAAGAGGAATGGAGATTTTGCAGTATCCTTCCCCTGGAGTGGGGAGGGAATGGAGATTTTGCAGGATCCTTCCCCTGGAGTGGGGAGAGAAAGGGGATTTTACAGTATCCTTCCCCTGGAGTGGGATGGGAATGGAGATTTTGCAGTATCCTTCCCCCTGGAGTGGGGAGGGAATGGAGATTTTGCAGTATCCTTCCCCTGGAGTGGGGAGGGAATGGAGATTTTGCAGTATCCTTCCCCTGGAGTGGGGAGAGAAAGGGGATTTTACAGTATCCTTCCCCTGGAGTGGGATGGGAATGGAGATTTTGCAGTATCCTTCCCCTGCCACGCCCACAGAACCGGTAGGGAAAAAAAATTGGATTTCACCCCTGCTCCATACAGGTAGTCGACTCGACTTCCAACCATAATTGAGCCCCAGATTTCTGTTCTCAGGCAAGGCATTTGTTCAAGGGGACTTTTGCTCCCTTCTACAACCTTCCTTGCCCCCCCCCCCCCTTTGTGGACCGAATCGCCGCCGTTCTCAAGTTAGTGGCCCGGTTGTTAAGTGAACCCGTCTTGGACTTCGCTTGTCGGAAGGTCATAAAAGGGGGAATCGCGTGACTCACTTCGCACCACGGCTGCGACCGTCGTAAGCATGAAGTGGTTTGCCAAGTGTCCCGATTTCGAATCACATGACTTTGAATGCTACAAAGGTCGCAAGTGTGAAAAACGGTCCGAAGTTACTTTTTTCAGTGCCTGTTGTAACTGCAAACGGTCACGAAACAAATTGTTGTAATTCGAGGACTACCTGTGTGGTGTTTTTTGTGTGTTTTTTTTTAATGTGCCTGGAGATGCTTCCGTTTCAACCTTCTTCCTAGCTTTCCTCTTCTCCCACTCTCAATTCTTTCTCTCTTTCCCTGGGCTGGCGGCATGGATTCCGGGATGATTCTTAGGACAAAGAGTGCCTTATTATATCTGTGTACACATACATGGGAGTGGACCTTTTCCACATCAGTGACCTGGCGTGTTCGGTGTCCTTGGTTATGCAACCTCTCCGGGCGAGTTAACGCTTTCCTTGCCAGAGTACTGAAGATAATCCTAGTTCTTTCCCAGGACAATCAGGGTTTTCTGAAAATCAAGGTCAAGGTTAGGATAGTGAAAAGAACAGAATAGAGAATAGAATTAGAATTAAATTTAGATTAGAATAGAATAGATTAAGGAATAGAATAGAATAGAATAGAATAGATTAAGGAATAGAATTGAATAAGGAATAGAATAAGAATAGAATAGAATAGAATAGATTAAGGGATAGAATAGAATAGAATAGAATAGAATAGAATAGAATAGAATAGAATAATATTGGAATATAGAATAGAATAGAACAGAACAGAACAGAATAAAATAATTTTGGAATGAGGATCCAGATTGTTAGGGGACAATATGCTGTTTCGTATACTGTCTTTGGTGTAAGCTGCCCAGAGTCCTCGGAGAGTGGGCGGCAGACAAATATAACTAATAATAAATAATAATAAATAGAATAGAATAATATTGGAATGAAGAATAGAATAGAACAGAACAGAATAGAATAATATTGGAAGGAAGAAGAAAGAGTATGAAAAGAAGAGTAGAGTAGAGAGTATAGAATAGAGTAAATGGAATGGAGGCAAGAAGATAAGATAATAGAGACTGAAATAATGAATAGGAATAGAATAGAATTTGGAATAGAATAGAATATGGAATGCTGTGGAATAGAATAGAATAGAACAGAACAGAATAGAATAATATTGGAAGGAAAAGAGAAGAGTATGAAAAGAAGAGTAGAGTAGAGAGTATAGAATAGAGTAAATGGAATGGAGGCAAGAAGATAAGATAATAGAGACTGAAATAATGAATAGGAATAGAATAGAATTTGGAATAGAATAGAATATGGAATGCTGTGGAATAGAATAGAATAGAATAGGAGAATGAAATAATGAATGGAATGGAATAGAAATAGAACAGAAGAAACACTGCATTTTCTGGGTCTTCTTAAATTTTCTTGCAAGGCAGAATAATAGAGTTGGAAGGGACCTTGGAGGTCTTCTAGTCCAACCTCCTGCTCAGGCAGGAAACCCTATGCCATTTCAGGCCAATGATTGTCCAATCTCTCCCAAACGGCTCTTCCTGGAGCGCACAAGGGATTGTAAACTTTTCATTCGCTTGGAACCTGCAGTTTTTCATGCATCCTGATCCTCCCTCTGTTGCCTTTACAGCTGGGTTTCACCGACCTGAATTTAGCCGAATTTGCAGGCTCGGGCCTGACCGTCCGATGTTGCTTGTTGGAAGGATACGACACCAAGAACACCAGGCAGGACAATTCCATCCTGAAGGTAAGTCTGAAGGACCTCTGGATGGAGGAAAGGATGGGGGCGGGGGGGCGATGGACAGGGGTGGCGGCTGAGAGATGTGCTGGAGATAAAAAAAACTACCCTGTTTCCCCCAAATTAAGACATTCCCCTGATAATAAGCCCAATCGGGCTTTTGAGCGCATGGCAATAAGGCCAAGCGCTTATTTCAGGGTTCAAAAAAATATAAGACTTCGGTGGCTTTGGAGAATAAGTTGACCCCTCTCTCCAGGTCCTTATCAAGAGCCCCTGTGTTTTAATTCATTTATTTCGCACACCCTTTTCAGGTTGTTTTTCATGAATTTTCCTTCTCTCTCTCGTATTCGTTCTTCGGCAGGTCACGATTGGCATGTCCCTCTTATCCGGAGACCCTTGTTTCAAAACGTGAGTCTTTGGGGAAGCTTAAAACCCTTCGGGGAAGGGGTTTCAAAGGCCAGAATATCTCCATAGCTCTTAATGTCCTGCTGGTGGCTGAAGGAGAAGATTGGAAAGGAGAAAAACAAAGAGGATCCAATCTGGGTCGGCGACAATGCCCAGAGGTTCTGTCTTCCGAGCTTTCGGTCTCATCCTGGAGCCCCATCTTCAGGGAACTTCTCTCTAGTAGAGTGTGTGCTTTCTGGACTCCATTGGTAGCCTCACAACGAACAAAGACGCACATTCAATTTTGCAGCTACTAAGATTGTTGGACGAGCAGGGACAAAAACAGCCAGGGAAAAGAGATTGAAGCCTGGGGAAACAGGCCCCTCGTCAGTCAACAGGAGTGCTGATTTTACCACCAGTCTACCAAGTACTTAAGGGATGTGGTGGCTAAGATGCCGAGCTTGTCGATCGAAAGGTCGGCAGTTCAGCGGTTCGAATCCCTAGTGCCGCGTAACGGGGTGAGCTCCCGTGACTTGTCCCAGCTTCTGCCAACCTAGCAGTTCGAAAGCATGTAAAAAATGCAAGTAGAAAAATAGGGACCACCTTTGGTGGGAAGGGAACAGCGTTCCGTGCGCCTTTGGCGTTGAGTCATGCCGGCCACATGACCACGGAGACGTCTTTGGACAGCGCTGGCTCTATGGCTTTGAAACGGAGATGAGCACCGCCCCCTAGAGTCGGGAATGACTAGCACATATGTGCAAGGGGAACCTTTACCTTTTTACCAAGTACTTAGAAGGCGAGGGCTGGGCAGCCAATGATTTAAAAGCCAGCCATCAGCACACTCCAATCAACATCTAAAAAGCCACACACACACAACCAGGCACCCTGTAAATACCACACACACAACAGTCCACACTCTTCCTAGAGAGAACTTCCCCGAAGATGGGCTCCAGCCCGAATCCAAAAGCTCGGAAGACTTAAAACCTCTGATCCCGGTGACCGGCCCAGATTGTGGATCCAGATTGTGGATCCTGTAAGAGCCTTGGTAGTACAGTGGTCTAAAGCACCCTGTTATTGAGAACAGCTGCCTGCAATTACTGCAGGTTCGAATCTCGCCAAGGCTCAAGGTTGACTCAGCCTTCCATCCTTTCTAAGGTAGGTAAATTGAGGACCCAGTTGTGGGGGGCAATAAGCTGACTTTGTATAAATATACAAAAGAATGAAGGCTATTGCTTAGTGCATTGTAAGCCGCCCTGAGTCTTCGGAGAAGGGCGGCATATAAATCAAATTTAAAAAAAAAAAATTATCCCAGGACACGTTAGATTTGCAAAAAATAAAAGAGGTTTTGTGTTTTTTTTAAAAATCGTTGGAACAAAGCGACAGGTGTGCGATTGTTGACTTTCCAAGGAGGTGGCTGCTGATTAGCTACCAGCAGCTCAGAACATACCTGCCAGAGGTGTGGCATTTTGCAGTAGGCAAAAGGTGTTGGCAATTTAATACCGGTTACCAAGGCAGCAGAAGAGAAAACAAACTTGTTGCATAGGTGTGTGTGTGTATATGTGTTTGTTTGTTTGTTTGTTTTTTGCAAGACCGACCTTGTCACCAGCTCGGTTGAAGTCCGCCGGTGTCAAAATGGTGTCTAAGGCCCGCGAGGAGCCCCCCCTGTTTTTTTTCAAAGTGGGAGGGGGAGAGAAAAGAGGAAATTCCAGCCGCATTCCCAGATTGCTCAATTTCCATGCTTTTATATTTCCATCTCCAATCCAAGATTTCTCCTCTTGGGTTGTTGGTTTTATTTTTATTCAACCCTCCTCAAGAGCTTTGCTTAAATTCGGGGCTTTCTTTCTTTCTTTCTTTCTTTCTTTCTTTCTTTCTTTCTTTCTTTCTTTCTTTATCAAATTTCTATATCACCCTACTCCCAGAGGACTCAGGGCGGAGAACAGCCAAGATAAAATACAGATAATCCAAACAGGCCCTCTTGTTCCACCTTCTGTTCTCTACTCAACTTTTGACCTGGCTGGTTCTTTAATTATTTGATTTGTTTATTTGCATCCCGCCTTCATTAGTTTTTGCAAATAATTCGAGGCGGCGAACGTATCCCAACACAACTTCCTGCTCCTCTTTTCCCCACAACAACAACAACAACAACAGCCCTATGAGGTGGGCGGGGCTGATAGAGAGGGACTAGCCCAAAGTCACTCGACCGGCTTTCATGCTTAAAGGTGGTACTAGAACTCAGCATCTCCTGGTATTGATCCAAAGTCAATCAGCTGTAAGAACAGGAATAGAACTCACCGTCTCCTGGTGATCGGCTCAAAGTCACCCAGCCGGCTTTCATGCCTAAAACAGGACTAGAACTCACCATCTCCTAGTATTGGCCCAAAGTCAACCAGCCAGCTTTCATGCCTGAGACAGTACGAACTCACCCTCTCCTGGTATTGATCCAAAGTCAACCAGCCAGCTTTCATGCCTGAGACAGTACTAGAACTTACCCTCTCCTGGTATTGGTCCAAAGTCAACCAACCAGCTTTCATGCCTGAGACAGTACTAGAACTCACCCTCTCCTGGTATTGATCCAAAGTCAATCAGCTGTAAGAACAGGACTAGAAGTCACCGTCTCCTGGTGATCGGCCCAAAGTCACCCAGCTGGCTTTCATGCCTAAAACAGGACTAGAACTCACCATCTCCTGGTATTGGCCCAAAGTCAACCAGCCAGCTTTCATGCCTGAGACAGTACTAGAACTCACCCTCTCCTGGTATTGATCCAAAGACACCCAGCCAGCTTTCATGCCTGAGACAGTACTAGAACTTACCCTCTCCTGGTATTGGTCCAAAGTCAACCAACCAGCTTTCATGGCTAAGACTGGACTAGAACTCATGGTCTCCTAGTGAGTGACACAAAGTCATTCACCCAGCTTTCATGCCTGAGACTGTACTAGAACTCACCCTCTCCTGGTGATTGGTGCAAAATCACCTAGCCAGCTTTCATGTCTAAGGCGGCACTAGAACTCACCATCTCCTAGTGATTGATACAAAGTTGTTCCCCAGCTTTCATGCCTGAGTCAGTACTAGAACTCACCATCTCCTGGTGATTGCGCAAAAATCACCCAGCCAGCTTTCATGGCTAAGGCTGAACTAGAACTCACCATCTCCTAGTGATTGATACAAAGTCGTTCCCCAGCTTTCATGCCTGAGACAGTACTAGAACTCACCATCTCCTGGTGATTGGCGCAAAATCACCCAGCCAGCTTTCATGGCTAAGGCTGAACTAGAACTCACCGTCTCCTAGTGATTGATACAAAGTCGTTCCCCAGCTTTCATGCCTGAGACAGTACTAGAACTCACCATCTCTCTGGTGATTGGCGCAAAATCACCCAGCCAGCTTTCATGGCTAAGGCTGAACTAGAACTCACCGTCTCCTAGTGATTGATACAAAGTCGTTCCCCAGCTTTCATGCCTGAGACAGTACTAGAACTCACCCTCTCCTGGTGATTGGCGCAAAATCACCCAGCCAGCTTTCATGTCTAAGGCGGCACTAGAACTCACCATCTCCTAGTGATTGATACAAAGTCGTTCCCCAGCTTTCATGCCTGAGACAGTACTAGAACTCACCCTCTCCTGGTGATTGGCGCAAAATCACCCAGCCAGCTTTCATGTCTAAGGCGGCACTAGAACTCACCATCTCCTAGTGATTGATACAAAGTCGTTCCCCAGCTTTCATGCCTGAGACGGTACTAGAACTCACCATCTCCTGGTGATTGGTGCAAAATCACCCAGCCAGCTTTCATGGCTAAGGCGGCACTAGAATTCACGGTCTCCCACTTTTTAGCTTGGTTTCTTAACCACTAGATTAACACGGTTCTGCAAGACGGCCACCCCAGCTTTATTCTTTCCAATAAAAGCCCGTTCTGCCTTTTCACAGCCCGCCCTCCACGGCCAAATCCGTGGCCATCCCAGGACAAGACTCGAGCCTGCAGCTGACCTGCAAAGGGGAGGGAACCAGCCGGACTGTAACTCCCAGCACCAACGCACCGTCTTCGATCGGTTCCATCCGTCAGAACAAGCCCAGGGCCACCATTCTGGGATCAGGTATGAACACAGGAAATTTTCTACCCCGGTCCAAAATTTGGGAAAGATTAAAAAAAAATGAAAGGTATCAAGGCATTTCTCTTACGTGATTCTCCTCCTCACCTCCAAAATGCAAAAACGGGATCTAAATTTTTAATAGCCTTGATTTAAACTACTCAGCTTCCTTATTTCACTTGATGGGGGAAAGATGATCAGCTCGGCAGCTAAATTCTGATATATTTTCTTTTTCCTTTCCAGGGGCTTTGGAAGAAGCGGACCAGAATTTATCAAGTCCAGAAGAAGTGTTTCATTCCGGACACTCGCGAAATTCAAGCTATGCCAGCCAGCAGTCCAAAATCTCTGGTCAGTGTCCTATCCCACCGAGAGCCAAGTTTTCATGAGCCGATCTTAGTGGTGCTCCAATTTCTAACGGTCTTTTTTCCAGGCAGAACCAGACCTAAAACAAAACGATAAAATGATACAATTGCATTACCCTGTTTCCCCGAAAATAAGACCCAACCGGAAAATTAGCCCTAGCATGATTTTTCAAGATTCTTGTAATATAAGCCCTACCCCAAAAATAAGCCACAGTTAAGATCATCAGCCAGACGGATGCAATTAATACTGTATTTCCCCAAAAATAAAATCTACCCAGAAAATAAACCTTGGTAGTACAGTGGTCTAAAGCACCCTGTTATTAAGACCAGCTGCCTGCAATTACTGCAGGTTCGAATCTCGCCAGGCTCAAGGTTGACTCAGCCTTCCATCCTTTCTAAGGTAGGTGAAATGAGGACCCAGATTGTGGGGGCAATAAGCTGACTTTGTATAAAATATACAAAAGGATGAAGGCTATTGCTTAACGCATTGTAAGCCGCCCTGAGTCTCCGGAGAAGGGCGGCATATAAATCAAATAAAAAATAAAAAATAAGCCCTAATGCATCTTTTAGAGCAAAAAATAATACAAGACCCGGTTTTATTTTGAAAACATGGTAGTAATTTTAAAAAATGCTTTTTTTTATCCTAACTTAAACCAACGAGAGTTTTCATTTTCTTTTTACTGGGGTGGCAATGTTTAATAAATATAAGTAGTTTTATCTTTTATGCTAGCTAAACCAGCAAGAATCGTTGGTTGTTGTTGTTTTTTTTACTGTATACTGTAAAATTTACATTATTGCTGTAAATTTGGGATATTCACAGCCCAAGGCATTGTGATGGAGTATTAGTATTGCTTTATAAAGTCTTAGTAAGGCCACACCTGGAGAACTGTATCCAATTTTGGTCACTGCATTACAAACAAAGATATTGAGACTTTGGAAAAAGTGCAGAGAAGAGCAAACTAAGAGGATTAAAGGCCTGGAGAGTAAGACATATGAAGAACATGTCAGCACTCCAAGCTACATTCACTCCAGTGCCGACATAAGGAAGAGAAGAGGACACTTGACTCTTCACCTACTTATTTTCCCTGAAGATATTATCCCCTAGGAGATGGGATGGGAGGGGGGACATTCCTGTGAGCTGAAGTAGTAGATATGGGAAGAGTGACTTGGAAGATGGCCAATGAGACGCAGAGAATTGGGGAACGGAAAGGGAGGGTTTGAGGTCAGAAGGTCAGTGCTGACTACGATGGAGTCGCGGACAGATTGTTGTGCTCAATAAATGAAAGATTTCATCAAAGACTATTTGTTTGGAAATGCAGTTTATTTGAGACGACATCGTAACCTGACAGAACAGTTGCAGGATTTGGGTTTGGCTAGTCTAGAGAAAAGAAGGGCTTGTGGAGGGGGACATGATAGCAATATTCCAGTATTTGAGGGGCTGCCACAAAGAAGAGAGGGTCAAATTATTCTACAAAACAGCAGAAGGCAAGACAAGAAGCAATGGATGGAAACTAATCAAGGAGAGAAGCAACTTGGAATTAAGGAGAAACTTCCTAACAGTGAGGACCATTAACCAGTGGAACAGCTTGCCACCAGAAGTTGCGGGTGCTTCATCACTGGCGGTTTTGAAGAAGAGACTGGACAGCCACTTGTCTGAAAGGGTATAGGGTTTCCTGCTTGAGCAGGGGGCTGGACTAGAAGACCTCCGAGGTTCTTTCCGGCTCTATTCCGATTGAGTTGCTGTTAAACAGAGAGGGAGATAGCTAAATTCATGTAGGATTGGTTTATCCTACATGATAATCGGTTTATCTTGTTAGTCCTGAAGACTAAAGATCACCTCTGCGGTGAAGGTAGCATCTCAGGTAACATCCTCGGTAGAAGAGCTACGTCTCCATCTCCTGCTAAGAAGCTTCAGATGTTCTTCTGGTGGGCCATTTTGTCGGGAACAAAACGCTGGATTCAGATGGTTCCCGGCCTGCCCATCAAGGTTTTCCTGATGTTCTCGTTTGCAGGATACAGCACCGAGCACTCCAGATCCTCCAGCCTGTCGGACCTGACCCACCGCCGGAACACGTCAACCAGCAGCAGCGCCTCCGGAGGTCTCAGCATGACGGTCGAATGCCCTGAAGGCGAACGGGAGCACAGGTTGGAGAAGCCACCGAGACCCCCCAGGCCAAACCTTTTGTCGGACAGATCTTCTCGGTAAGTACAGTCTGAGCTGGAATGGCAGAGGAGAACATCTCTGTTGTGACCTAGGCTTACTGAGTCATTACAAGACCAAAATTAGTCCCAAACAAACCTATTTTATTGTAACAGCTGAGAATTACATTCATTCCCAACTTAGTCCCAATTAGTTGCAAAACAAGTCCTTCAGAAGAAGTCCTTCAGGATAATCACCAACCTTTATCTTTGACACCCTGCCAAAGGCCTTATTTGGCAAAGCCCCACAAAGTTCAGAAACAAACAAGAGATGCCAACTGGAAACGGAGTCAGCAACGTTGCTTTCCTGCAAAAAGGCCCAAGTGCCTTTGTTTCTCTGTTAAGCCTTACGGGAGGGGCCAATCATCTCCTGGCCTTACTCCCAAGTCGTCCCTTTTGTTTTAATTGTTTGTGCCTTCTGGCAGATTTGCACATGCGCGCACTAGGAACAGGATCCTCCAGTTTCTCTGCTGTCCGACTCTGGGGGCTCCGGAGTCCGCACATCACTCCCAGATGGCCCTAGCCCCATCTCTGCTTCCGACACAGTGCCCTCATCCGAGCCTTCCCCAGAGTCCAGGACTGGGCCATGTTCCTCCCCAGCCTCCTCACTGTCCGACTAATGCCACCTCCGCAGGCTGCTGGCAGACCACAACAATCTCTTCCATCTTAAAATAAATCTGGCACTTAAGGTCATTTTGTTGCAAACGTCGCCTATTGTTTTTGTTTTTATACATGTCTTTGTTTACCTCTTTTCCGGCAGAAGGAAAAAGGATTCTGTAGAAAGCCATCCCACCTGGGTGGACGACACCCGGATCGACGCAGGTGACATTGTAGAGAAGATCATGCAAAGCCAAGATTTCACCAACGTCAGCAACACTGAAGGTGAGATGCCCCGCCTCCTAATAGCAATAGCAATAGCCCTTAGACTTATATACCACTTTACAGTGATTTTACAGCCCTCTCTAAGCGGTTTACAGAGTCAGCCTCTTGCCCCCAACAATCTGGGTCCTCATTTGACCCACCTCGGAAGGACGGAAGGCTGAGTCAACCTTGAGCCGGTGAGATTTGAACTCCTGACACTGGGCAGAGTTAGCCTGCAGTACTGCATTTTAATCACTGTGCCACCATGGCTCATAGGTAGGTAGGTAGATCGATATAGATAGATGGATGGATGGATAGATAGATTAGATGGATGGATGGATGGATGGATAGATGGATGGATGGATAGATAGATAGATAGATAGATAGATAGATAGATAGATAGATAGATAGATAGATAGATAGATAGATAGATGATAGATAATAGTCAGACAGACAGATAAATAGCAGTAGCTCTTAGACTTATATACCGCTTCACAGTGCTTTTACAGCCCTCTCTAAGCAGTTTACAGAGTCAGCCTATTGCCCCCCAACAATCTGGATCCTCATTTGACCCACCTCGGAAGGATGGAAAACCGAGGCAACCTTGAGCCGGCCAGGATTGAATGTCTGGCAGTGGGCAGAGTTAGCCTGCAGTACTGCATTTTAATCACTGTGCCACCATGGCTCATAGGTAGGTAGGTAGATCGATATAGATAGATGGATGGGTAGATTAGATGGATGATGAATGGATAGATAGATAGATGATAGATAGATAGATAGATAGATAGATAGATAGATAGATAGATAGATAGATGATAGATAATAGTCAGACAGACAGATAAATAGCAGTAGTACTTAGACTTACATACCACTTCACAGTGCTTTTACAGCCCTCTCTAAGCGGTTTACAGAGTCAGCCTATTGCCCCCCAACAATCTGGGTCCTCATTTGACCCACCTCGGAAGGATGGAAAACCGAGTCAACCTTGAGCCGGCCAGGATTGAATGTCTGGCAGTGGGCAGAGTTAGCCTGCAGTACTGCATTTTAATCACTGTGCCACCATGGCTCATAGATAGATATGGATGGATGGATGGATAGATTAGATAGATAGACAGACAGACAGATAATAGATAGATAATAATCAGACAGATAAATAGCAATAGCATTTAGATTTATATACCACTTCACAGTGTTTTTACAGCCCCCTCTAAGCAGTTTACAGAGTCAGCCTCTTGCCCCCAACAATCTGGGTCCTCATTTTACCCACCTTGGAAGGACGGAAGTCTGAGTCAACTTTGAACCTGGTGAGATTCGATCTACGAAATTGCAAGCAACCAGCAATCAGCAGAAGTAGCCGGCAGTACTGCACTCTAACCACTGCGCCACTGAGGCTCATAAAGAAACTTTCGCCCCATTTTCCTTCACCCATCGTGCAGCCTTCCGACTTTCCAACTTCACCTCCAACTGGAGCCTGCCTTGAACTTCATCTCCCAGAATTCCTAAGCCTTGGCTGGGGGATTCTGGGATTGAGAGCCCAAACCACTGTGCCAGGCACTCATTTGTCAGGCACAAGGAACCAGGGCCATTCATAAGTAGCTGAAGAAAGCACTTTTATTGTTTTCTGCCTGAGTTACAAGAATCTTTCCAGATCGCTTGCCTTCCTCTGGAAACGACTAGATTCATAGTTCTTGAGAAAGTTCAAGCTTGTTCCTCTTGCAGTTGCTCAAGGATTCCAAGCTAGGCCCCTGCTTGACCCTTCCTTCCAGCCGAGCTGGCATTTTCCCAACATCTTTTAAGAAAGGCTAAAATATTTTCCTCCTGGATATCTCTGCAATTGCAGGCCTCTTCGTTTTTGTCTTCCAGATAGTAACCTGAGGCTGTTTGTGAGCCGAGATGGCACAACTACCCTAAGCGGGATTCAGCTAGCAAACAGGTATGGTCCTACTGCAGTCGCTTTTCGATACTTGGGGTTTAAGCCTCAGGAGGAATGCAGGATTTTCTAAGTGTATCTGTTGTTGGCCCGCCAGCAGCCAGCAGAGCTGGCAGCAGATTCGGACAGTGAGGAGGTTGGGGAGGAACGTGGGCCAGTCTCTGGAGTCTGGGGAAGGCTCAGACGAGGGCTCTGAGTCGGAGGCAGAGAGGGGGCCAAGACCATCTGGTAGTTCTTTGCTGCCTCTGGAGTCTCAGGAGTCTGCGGCAGAAGAACAGCGGGAGCCTGTTCCCAGTGTGCGCATGCGCAGAGCTACCAGAAGACAGGAACAATTAAGAAAACAGGGTCAACTTGGGAGTAAGGCTTGGAGACGATTGGCCCCTCCCATAAGACATAAAAGAGAAGCGAACGGGAAGTGAGCTTTTGCAGGAAGCAATTAGTTCATCTGGTCGGTTAAAGCTCTGGAAAAGCTCTGTTTGACTCTGTGCTAAGTTTGGCCTTGCCCTGCGTGTGGCAATTAGTTCTCTGGCAGCGTTCCAAGGGAGGTAAGGTGGGTGTTTGTAAACACTCCCCTGATAGGCTGTTTGAGAAGCCTTTCGGACTGAATTAAAGAGGTTTGCCAGAATTAAGATTGTGCTGTCTGCTGAAGTCTAGGTCAAAACAGTATCTTTGTACGCTTAGAGCCCCAAACCGATCCATGTTTCTTAGTTTAAGTCAAAATCTCGTCCTTCTGTTCTTTTAAACCACACATTCTTCCATCACAGTGTCTTTCTCCTGCCTTTTTCTCCTGCAGAGTCTCGTCTGGAGTTTACGAGCCAGTGGTCATCGAAACCCATTAAATGCGAACTAGATGGGTCCCCCGGATGGAAACCTGTCTCAGCAGTTAGGGTGGGTGGTCATTTCCTCCCCCACCCCACACCGTTTTTCTTTCTTCCTTTCTTTTTCTTTTTTAACCCTCTCTGCACATAACATTCCGGGCAGGACTTCTCAAATTTTTTTTGGAATCCAAGCACTCCTCACCTGCCCAGAGGTACTTCATAAACAGGCACTTTATGTGGGATCTGGGAAGGTAACGTCGACGATATTCAGAAGCACGGGATCAACCGTCCTGCCCACATGCAACGGCTCCCTTGGAGGGACAGCAACTCAGGACGGCTCTTGTGCCAAGCACCACGGTTCGGCGAGCGTGGTTTGACCAATCCTTTCTCCACCACCTAGTTTACACCACTGTGAACACTTCCCTCCCGCTCTCCCGTCCAAGAAAGTCTCAAATTGGAAACCTTGCTTAGTCGCGACCGTCGTGAAGATTCAACGGTTGGTTCATCTGCATCTCCTCTCTTGCATTTATCCCTCCAAGAGCTGATACACAAGGAACGAAGATCCAGCTACGTCACCGCTTTGAACCCAGAAGTCCTCCCCATGTTCTGTCTTTCATAGGAAACCGCTTGTGTGTGTTTGTGGTCTCCTCAGAAACCTTCTTTCAAGCATCCGTGAGCCATGGAAAGCTTTGCAGATGCTGAGTGCAGTTCAGGTTCTAGCTTGAAGTCCTCCTTCTCCTGCAGGACAAGGAAGGGGGATGACCTTGGCCAGCTACCATGCAAGGCGACTCTTGAAGAACCTCAAATGTGCTCAGCTTTTGGTTTTCCTCTATGGGAACCGCTCTTGACTTTTTCATTTTTTTAAAAAAAAGAACATTAGTTTTGGGTAACACACACACACACACTGCTGCCAGGTGAGGGGTGGAGAAGCTCCAAGTTCTGTTTTCACTCGGTAGTACAGTCGAAAAATATTCCGTATCAGTTCCAACATCGTTGCCTTCTAGACGCAAAACACGTTGGGTTAGGATTCTCCTCGGTTGGGTTTCGATTTGAAACAGAAGCATTGAGCATTGAGAAGGTTAAGCCAGGGGCCTCCTTTCCTCCCATCCAAACATGGTGGAGAAGGTTCCATCACAACATGCCAAAATGTTCCCCGGTCACTTGCTTTCCCATAGAGCATGTTGGAGTCTGTGATGAATCCAAACTCCATAAGCAATGAAATGAGGAAGGTAGCATCAGCGATCATCACTCAACTGTTATGTCCTCAACTGAGTTCTTCTACTGGTTTTTTTTGGGGGGGGGGACTTCCTGGATTTGTCTTTCCATCAGATGGATGCTTTTATTGCCCTCTCCATCCAGATGTTGAGATTTCTGTAGGAAACACAGCAAATTTCAGAGCTCGGTGTAGAAGCTATGAGGCTGGTTTTCCCCATGTTGCATTCTTACATTGGTCTTCTGCAAGCTACATCTAGAAGACCTGCACAGTTTCATCCTACGCATAGGGTGTGTCTCTCCCCCCTTCACTTGTTGCTTTTGTGGGGGATGGGGAGGGAAAGACTCAGGTTTTCCCCATTTCAAGAAAGTAGCTTGGCCTTGATCGAGGCATCAATTGAGTGCATACACAGATACATTTCACTTGGTTTAGTAATGGCTTGAGGTGTCATCTCCCCCACATGCCTTTAGACTATTGACTGTTCTAAACAAGAGTGGGCAAATGGTATTCAGAACAGGGTCAGGAATTGAGGAGAGGGGCACCTGGACATCGGTGGTAGCAAGGGAGTCATCAGTGCTGAGGATCTGCCAGAAGTTGGGTTCTCCACCCAAACCACTGACCAGAACGTTCCTCTCCTATCTCAGCTGAGCTAGCCAAAGGTGGTATGAGTTGAAGACTCCAACCCAGCTCGAGGCCGATCAAGAGAGCTTCAAACCCACCCTGACCATCCTAGATTGACCCTGATCTCCAGCAAAAAGGAGAAACTTGGGAACAGTCTAGACATCTCCAGGAGAGACCTGGAAAACTTCATCTGGAAGTTGGTGGCCTTGTGAAATCCTGGCCATGTCAAAAGAGGTCCTCTGGAACTTTTCTATAACGGGGCCACCACGATTCACATGCTAAGAAGGACCTGGGGCATGGGAAGAAGCCCAAGCTTCTTGAGATATCTCTGTTGGTCACCAGTGGCCTGTCCCACCACGAATGGGTGAAGCAGTACAACTTAAATATATGTGTGTTTTTTTTTCTTCTCCTGGTGAGCAAATTCTGCTTTTTATGATATTGGTCACACCTAGCCAAGCACTATGTGGGACAGTAAACTTAGAGATACCGTTTGGAAAATGGTTGCTTTTTAATTTGACCTTCTTACACCACAGTTTAACCTCCTTTCTCCTCCCCGTTTTGATTTTTTGAAATATATTGATTTTTTTTGTTGTCGTTGTTGATCAACCCAGCAGGCTGGTGTAACGTTGCGAATTTTGGAGGGAGGGAAGGGTTTAAATCATTGTTTCATTGCTTATCTAGTATGCGTCGGGCTGTTGTTTTATAATGATGTCTAACTTGAGCAGGGAGGGAGGAAAGCAACAAAGGAGTTTTGATTTCTCTCTAGTTTCTCGCTCGTTGCGTTCCTTCAACATTTGGGGGGGGGGGTTCGGCGCTCGCCCATCCATCGGAGAACCAAGATTTGGTGAAACATCGAAACGGCACCCCCAACCCAAGCTGTGAAGCCAGCTTAGCCAGCAAGGAAGCGAGCACAGCTGGATTCTGTTCTCCTTCCACGCATGGACTTGTTTTTGGGCTTGGTTGGTTCTGCAGCAGGGGAAAAAAAAAATTCCTCTTGAGCAGAAGTTCTCAAGAGAAGAGATGAGCTGTTTCTGGAAGGGGTGAGGAAACAACCACACCCTCCAATTTTGCAAAATGGCAATGAGACCATGAGAATAATTCAATTTTTTTTTTTTGCAAAATGGCAACGAGGCCGTCCAATTTTGCAAAATGGCAATGAGGCCATGAGAATAATTCAATTTTTTGCAAAATGGCAACGAGGCCGTGAGAGCAGTTCATTTCCCAATGAAGAATTTGTACAAGGCAAGTTGCAAAGAAAGCATCTTCCTATCTCGGGTGCAAATCTAGCACGCTTCTCAGTTTCCCCCAGCGCCCGCTCTAATCTCTTCAGAAAAATTTATTCCCTATTTTTTTATTTTATTAACACTTTTTAAAAAAAAAAATAGTTTGGGTCTCCGCAGTGACCCGCTCCTAAATGGCTTGCTTGCTTGCTTCTTTTTTTATTATTATTATGCTTCCTTCTGCAGTTAAATCTTCCCCTTTGGAAAAAAATAAAAGTTTTAAAAGGAAAGGAAAGGAAAAAAAAAACTTGATCGAGGCAGCTGGGCTGCACTCAGGTTGTAAACCTCTGGAAGGTGATTTCCTCCCATTCCGCTAAGGTACGGATCAGGATGCCCCCTCCTGGAGAGGGGATCCACCAGAGAGCAGATCTCTCCTTCATGTGTGATCTCAGGAGCTGTTTGAAGAAAATGCCATTTCCCTTTCAAGTTGGCTACCCTTCTTTCTTTAGGCTCTGTAGACAGAGCTGGTCTCTTAGAGGCACAATAATTTCTCTGACACCCAAACTTTGTGGCTGTCCAGTTTTCCCCCCTCGGGAAAAAAAATAATAATCTGACTTTTCCCACCTAAGCCAACTTCAAAGCTGCATGACTTTTCCCTCTTCCCTCGCCAGCTTCCAAGGACAAAGATCCTTTTTGCCCTGACTCCCAAAAATCAAACGAACTTGGAATGTAAAAGAATAAACTCGAATAAATTCTTAACCCGTGCTTTAAGAAGTGACGTTTTTCTTAAGTTTGTCGTTGCTTTTTAAGCCCATATTTTTCAGGGGTTTGTTAAGAAAGAGAGAAAAGAAAAAGAAATCGCGTTTTATTTTCTTGAAAAGCGAACGAAACTTTTTAGAGATTTCGAAAGGCACCCGCGATTTATATTCAGATATTTCTATAAGCAGGAAAGATATTTTTGGAAGAGAGAAAAAGAAATTTTAAAAAAAACCCAGGACTATGCAAAATTTAAGGTAGAGAATTGCCGGAAGAGATAGTTTTGATGTGTACTGAAATCTGAAAAGTAGATTAAAACTCAAATCCTTAAACAGCATTTATAGAAAATATTTTTTTTTTAATTTTTCCTTCCACCCACCCCTGCTGCTCCATTTCCAAATATATTTTTCGAAAAGTATTGGGCCCGGAGAAGAATCAGTCATAGAACTACATATTCCCCGGTTTTAACTTGTTCTTCTAGTATTTATCATTTTTGTATTGAATGCTGTGCTGTCTTTGATTCAAACAGTCTTTGTTTTGTATTCTCTGTTACCTGGTAGAAAAGCCAGTTATAAAAAGAAGAAAAATCACTATAAAATCAAATGTCGTAATGGTTTTGGGGGGGCGGAAATAAAAATTGGGTTTTCTTTGGTACATCACAATTAGCGTCTCTGCTGTTTTTTTCGTTTTGCTTCCGAAATCTTGACAAGCGCACACAGCTGCTCTCAAATCCTGGAGATTACATGGATGCAATAGACAATTAAATTTTCTTTTTTTTTTCTTTTTATTAATATCAATAAAAAGGAGCAACATATTCAAAATCCATATAGACAGTGTGTTGTCTGGTTACAGTTCTTTTGAGTAATAAGCATCACAATAATTAAAATAGTATTCTCTAAAAGTAATCTCATAACTGCTTTTTCCCTCATAACATCAATACATATTGTTAATACTAATCAAAATTAATCAAAATTAATAAGTTACAGTAAACAATCCTAATAAGATTGATCTTTCTCTTATGGTTTTTGAAGTTCTTACTCCTATTTCTCTTATTTAACCATCAATAGAGCAGATCCCATACCTCAAAATATTCAGTGTCTTCCTTAATTTCAAACATTAGTTTATTCATTTCTGCACATTCTAAAATTTTTGTTATCTTCTGTGGGCATCTCCTCGCCCTTCCAATGTTGTGCGAACACGATTAACACATGTATTATTAAATATACATTTCTTTTACTATATTTGTCAGGTATGATGCCCAACAGAAATATTTCCGGTTTTAAATCAATATGTTCCTTTATCATTTTTTCTAGCCTGGTGCGTACTTTGGACCAGTATTTTATTTTATTTTTTTTGCTTTCGGGCATGTCCACCACATGTGGTAATATGGACCTAGGGTTTGCTTGCACTTCCAACACTTAGCAGACAAATTCTTAAACATTCTAGCTAATCTTGCTGGAGGGAAGTTGAAGTTGATGTAGCGGCTAGGAGTCACTTTGAACCACGAAATGAGCAGCATATAAATTTCAGAAATAAATCTGGAAATAGTTTTGCTGTTGCCGTCTTTCAGTATGTTTCGGTTACCTAACTTGGCCTCCCACCCAGTAATGGATCACATCCACTTCTATATATTCTGACCTTTTTTTCATCAGGATTTTGGATAATCCACTTGGTTTAATATCTAGTTTCTTGCCCAAAAAGATTTGACAGGCCCATTGACTCAAACATCAACGGTCAAAGTTCTTTCCTTAAACTTACAAAGGCATAGCAGGTGAGGAGGAGTTGAGGGAGGAGGGAGAAAGTTCAGTTTCAAATCATCTGCCGGCTACTAAGTTATTTCAATTTATCTGCAAAGTGCTAAGTTAGGGAAGGCTGTCCTAACCTCTTCCGAGAATTGCAAGCAAGTAACCCAAGTAACTTGAAGTAAAGGAACAGGTTGGCTCAGTGGCTAAGATGCTGAGCTTGTCAATTGAAAGGTCGACAGTTCAGCGGTTCGAATCCCTAGCGCCGCATAATGGGGTTAGCTCCCGTTCCTTGTCCCAGCTTCTGCCAACCTAGCAGTTGGAAAGCATGTAAAAAAGTAGAAAAATAGGGACCACCTTTGGTGGGAAGGTAAGAGCGTTCCGTGCACCTTTGGCGTTGAGTCATGCCGGCCACATGACCACGGAGACGTCTTTGGACAGCGCTGGCTCTTTGGCTTTGAAACAGAGATGAGCACCGCCCCCTAGAGTCGGGAACGACTAGCACATATGTGCGAGGGGAACCTTTACCGTAACCCAAGTAAGAATTGGAGTGAAGCAAGGATAAATGGAAAACCGCAGTCAATCCATTCCAAATTGTGAGGTTAAAATGCAAAACTTACTGTCATTGAAATATCTCTGTGAAATTAAAATATAAAGACCCTACAAAATGAAAAACAAAATCCATATATTGAACTATATTGAACTACAAAGCAGAAATGTTTTCATAATAGCTTTTTTTTTTTAATTTACTTGATTTGGGTAGAGTTTCTCAACCATGGTAAACCGAAGATAAGTGGATCAAATTCCAGGATTCTGGGAGTTAAACATTGCCAAAGTTGAGAAACTTGGATGTTTGAACCAGGGCAAAAGGAATTAGATAATTTTACGATTATGTTACAAAACTATGTTCATTACAGAAAAGGGAAAGTAACTACCAGTACATTCTTTACAAAAAAAAAAAAAACTGCAATGGTTAGATGTTTGCCCATAAGTCCTATTTTTGCTTTTCAGAGGAATAGAATAGAATAGAAGTTGGAAGGGACCTTGGAGGTCTTCTAGTCTAACCCTCTGCTTATGCAGGAAACCCTACACCACTTCAGATAAATGGTTATCTAACCTCTTCTTAAAAACTTCCAGTGGTGGAGCATTCACAACTTCTGGAGGCAAGTTGTTCCACTGATTAATTGTCCTCACTGTCAGGAAATTTCTCCTTAGTCCTAAATTGCTTCTCTCCTTGATTAGTTTCCACCCATCACTTCTTGTCCTGCCCTCAGGTGCTTTGGAGAATAGCTTGACTCCCTCTTCTTTGGGGCAGCCCCTGAGATATTGGAAGACTGCTATCATGTCTCCCTTAGTCCTTCTTTTCATTAAACTAGCCATGCCCAGTTCCTGCAACCGTTCTTCATGTGTTTTAGCCTCCAGCCCCCTAATCCTCTTGGTTGCTCTTCTCTGCGCTCTTTCTAGAGTCTCCACATCTTTTTGTACATCATGGTGACCAAAACTGGATGCAGGATTCCAAGTGTGACTTTATCAAGGCCTTATAAAGTGGTATTAACACTTCAGGTGATCTTGATTCTATCCCTCTGTTTATGCAGCCTAGAACTATTGGCTTTTTCTGGTGCAGCAAAAGGTGCAGTAAAATGCATCCCAAGCCCCAGATAGAATAAAACTGATTATGAAATTGCCCAGCGCTTTAAAAAAAAAATAATAATAAATTTTGGGAGGTTGGAAAGCAAACACTGGACATCAGTGAACCTTTGAGGCCTGGATTTCCAAAAATGCCATGCTCAAAATAAGATGGCGGTGTAAAATTATCTGAATCTCCTCCCCAAATTTCAATTCAATCCTCACTGGAAGAATTTTTTAAAAAGGGGGGGGGAGAGAGAGAGGAAAACTTAGAATCCATATTAAAATAGCAGCTGATCCATTTTGAAGACTTTGATCACACTTCCTCTAAGGGCACCATGCAAAACTTATATTTTCCTATTTCCTATATATATTTAGCCTATTGGGAGACTAATATAAGATCTATTTCGGACTCTATATTAGTCTCCCAATAGGCAGCAAAATGCGTGCTTGCTGTCTGAAGAAGCCTAGGATAGTGGATGTGATTTCACTGAGCTATGGCTGCAATTTGAGAAACTTGGTTTACGTAGGAAAATACCCAGTTGAAGATAGATAGATAGATAGATAGATAGATAGATAGATAGATAGATAGATAGATTGGTATGTATGTATATGTATATGTATATGTATATGTATATGTATATGTATATGTATATGTATATAGATAGATAGATAGATAGATAGATAGATAGTGAGATAGTGAGATAGTGAGAGAGAGAGTGAGAGTGTGTATGTATATATATATATATATATATATATATATATATGGTATTTTCTGAGGTTTTCACGGGTGTTTGTATGTAGATCTTCGGTTATTCGGGTTTTCTCCCGCGTAAAATTGGAAGTATCTTGGTGACGTTTCGACGAAGTCTCATTCGTCATCTTCAGGCTGGTGTTTTCGGCTTGGTGCCGAAACAGAGCTTCATGTAGAAGCTTCTACATGAAACAGAGCCTGAAGATGATAGGGTTGTGAGCCTGTCGAAACGTTGCTTTAAGAAAAACTTTTAAAGTCACTGGTAGGATTTTAGCTGAGGTTTTAAAGGACCTTGCAGAGTGCTCTGTAAAGATTTTTAGAAGATTTTAAGATGGGATTTTAACCAGGATTTTAAATATTTTAACCAACTTATTTATAATGACGCTGGAAAACACCCGAGATTTTAATTTTTTGCATATGCACACCCGCGAAAAGGGCTGCAGAAAAACCTTGGTTATGTAGGAAAAACCTGGCTAAAAGAAAAACACACATAAATCCTACGAAGAAGTAAGAAAATAGATATTGTACCTTTACAGGGAGGATATATGAGATGTGGGTGTGGCTTACTGATGAAGGCTAACGAGCCAGAAATAGATCTATATAAGTCTCTCACCAGGCAACAAGGGCTTGCTGTCTGCCAGAAAGAAAAAAGCTCAGAATCGAGTGGATGTGACTCCACTGAGCTAGGGCTGTAGAAAAACCTTGGTTACGTAGGAAAAACCTGGCTAAAAGAAACACACACACACACACACACACACACACACATATATATATATACACACACCTATATTTCCTTATAAATAGTCCTTGACTTAGAAGAATTCGTTTAATGACGGTTCAAAGTTATAACAGCACTGAAAAAAGCGACTTATGACCGTTTTTCGCAGTTAACGACCGTTCCAGCATCCCCCCCCTGTGATCATGTGATCAAAATTCAGACGTCGGGCAACTGATTCCTATTTATGACCTTGGATTCACGTGATCCCTTTTTGCGATCTTCTGACAAGCAAAACCCCATGGGGGAAGCCCGTTTCGCTTAACAACCGGTTACTAACTTACCAGCTGCAGCGCTTCACTTAAGAACGGGGGCAAGAAAAGCCGTACAATGGGGCAAAACTCACTTAACACATGTCTCGCTTAATGGAAATTAGGGGCTTCGTTGTGGTCATAAGTCGAGGACTACCTGCGCAAGGTAGACCGCACACACAATAATTGTGACCTTCAGCTCAAATGGCTAAATAAGACGCTAAGCTTGTCCATCAGAAAGGTTGGCAGTTCAGCGGTTCGAACCCCTAGTACCGGTCTCCTACGTGAGCAGGGGGTTGGACTGGATGACCTCCAAGGTCCCTTCCAACTCTGTTACTGTTACATATCCAGACAGTTGGGAAAACTGCATCGAATTTCCCCCCATGGCTTCCTCTGAACAACTCTTCCCCCTTTTTATTTAATTAAAATAAATTAAAATAAAAAATAAATTAAAGCAAGCCCGGAATCATTCCTGATCGATTCAAGTCTTCTCTATATTGAATAAGTCTTTGATTGCCCGGGGATTTATTTATTTTTTTAATTCTCAACCTTTCCGGAAGTCTACATGGGTGCCGCTCTAGAGCTGAACTCTACTGTCCGTGGGAAAAACTTTCGCACGCCCTCTCCGCTCCTGATTGGCCAGCGTGGCCGGAAGTAGGTCATCCTTGCTCAGCCCGCAGAGCCAAGTTGCAGAAGAGCGAGGTGGGATTGGCAGATTGGCAATGGTGAGGCTCGCGTTTTGCACTTTTTTTCTTTGATTTTTGCAAAGGGGAGAGGTCCCCCCTTTTTTTAATTGCTATCTTTTGCAAAAAAAAAAAATTGCAAAAAGCCCGGGAGGGAGGAGAAAGTGAGAAGGTGCAGTGTTTTGTGTTAAAAACTCTGCAATTGGTTTCTTATTATTATTATTATTTAATATGGAGTTCCCTGTTTTGGCTACACTGTCTCCAGTTTTGTGTTGCCTTTCAGGTTGCAAAAAGGTTGCAAAATCCTTGCAGGGTGGCGAGGTTTATTTTTATTTCCTGCGTTTTATTTATTTGCTTTGCGAAAAGTAGCAAAGGGAGAAATTTGAAGCAATAAGCAAATAGGAAAAAAAAAATACTATTTGTTCCCCTCTTTTTTTTTTTTTTAATATAAATGAGCCATGCTGATTAAATAGAACTTCCTTTTCTATTTTGGGATGAAATAAACATTTCTTCTGCTGTTTTGCTTTGCTTTGCTTTGCTTTGCTTTGCTTTGCTTTGCTTTGCTTTGCTTTGCTTTGCTTTGCTTTGCTTTCAGGCCACGGTGAGTGACCAGTTCGTTGGGTATGGCTTGGTGACCTTCAGCTTGGTTCTCTTTGCCTACTACACCATCTGGATTATCGTCCTGGTAGGTCCCGAGTTTTCTCCAGCATTTGATTGAGTGTTTGCCGTTGAGCTGTTTTTGTTTCCCTCCGAACAACAAATGGATTCATTGATTTATCTTCATGATGATCTATCCCTTGAGTATTCTTCCAAGTCTCTCCACAACACCCCCCATCACCACTGGAACAGAATCCTGGATGGATGGATAGATGATAGGTAGGTAGGTAGGTAGGTAGGTAGATGATGATCTATCTAGATCTATCTATCTAGAGAGAGAGTGATAAAGAGATGGAGAGAGAAAGACGATATATGACTGATAGAGAGAGGCAGACAGACAGACAGAGACAGTGATAGAGGTTGAATGGATGGATGGATAGACAAGTTGAGTAGCTGGATTGGTAGATGGGTGGATGGGAGGCAGACAAGTTGAGTAGATGGATTGGTAGATGGGTAGGTAGGTAGATAGATACAGTAGATAGATACAGACAGACAGACAGTGATAGACAAATGTTGAATGTATGGATGGTGGATGGATAGACAAGTTGAGTAGATGGCTTGGTAGATGGGTGGATGGAAGACAGACAAGTTGAGTGGATGATAGGTAGATAGATAGATACGATAGGTAGGTAGATAGATATGGTAGGTAGGTAGATAAAGGATAGATAGATAGATAGATAGATAGATAGATAGATAGATAGATAGATAGATATAAACAGACAGACACAGACAGAGACTGACTGACTGACTTACTAGCTCAGATTTTAGATTTTGGCAGTGGTTTGCTCTCCAAGCTTCTTTCAGTTTAATTTCTGAACATTTCTTTACCAGACTGGGTAACATTATCAGCAGGATTTCCTTGTCCTATTCTCCTTCGCTTATAAATGTCTCGTGTGCCAGTTGGTTGTGTGATATAGAGATAGAGATTCAGCCAACTAGACAAACAGACAGGTTGAGTGAATAATGATAGATAGATAGATAGATAGATAGATAGATAGATAGATAGATAGATAGGAAAGAGAGATATGATGGAGAGAGAGAGAGGATAAATAGACAGACAAGAGAGAAAAAGATATGATGAAGAGAGAGAATAAACAATAGATAGATGATACATGATTACATTGATAAATCTATGGATGGATGGATGGATGGATGGATGGATGGATGGATGGATGGATAGACGAGAAAAAGAGATATGATGGAGAGAGAGAAGATAGACAGACAGACAGAAGAGAGAAAAAGAGATGATGGAGAGAGAGAATATACAATGGATAGATAGATGATACATGATTACATGGTAGATCTATGGATGGATGGATGGATGGATGGATGGATGGATGGATGGATGGATAGATAGATAATTTGTCCTCTTAAACAGCAATGAACAATCCAATTCCCCTTCACATATTGAGGGATGAGAACACCCAGCAAATTAATTTAACATTCATTTATTAAATTTCTACCCTGTCCATCTCATTTAAATGACTCTGGATGCTTTAGCACCACATAAATAAAACCATATAAATCTAGGAATAAAAGCACAGCTTAAAAATGCACTTTACGAGAGGCTCCGTGGTGCTCCCTGAACTCGGCTGTTTTCTTGCAGACGTTTCACGACCCAGCCAGGTGATATCATCAGTGCTAGAAAATCCGCCCAACGTTGGGTTTTAGCCACCACTCTGCCAACCGATTATCTACAGAAGGGACCACTTTGCCTTATCAACATACACATTTAATAAATAATAAGACAAGTTGTGTTAGGGTCTCCTGCTTGAGCGGGAGGATGGACTAGATGACCTGTAAGGTCCCTTCCAACTCTATTAATCTGTTCCTCCTCAGCCCTTCATCGAGAGCGACCACCTCGTTCACAAGTACTTCCTACCCCGAGAATATTCAGTGATCATTCCGGTGGTGGCTGGACTGGTGTTGTTGCTATTTATTGGTGAGTTTCATCCCAGTTTGGGTGTGGCTGACCCACTGGGAGGCGGGGGGGCTCGAAAGTAGATAAGAAAACCCCCTGAAGATGCTCCATAGCATTTTTCTTCCTTCCTTCGGTCTCGTTTGTCTGATCTGCCCTGCGGAAACCTCGACTTTTAATATTTTTTCTCTATTTAAATTTAAAAGTTTATCTAGCTATCCCCTTCCAGCACACAAGCTGAAGCGGCGATCAAAACCCAAGGAAGTTTTGATGTGAAAGGGAAAAAGAAGAAAAACCAGGCATCCATTGTTGTAAATCAGAGGTCCAGGCTTTTGCTCTGTGCGAAGATGTCTCTCCTGCTCTTGCAGAGAGCTTTATTTTTTATACAGTTTTACACAGGCAGATAAAAGGTAGGACAGCAACAGTGTTCTAATTGGACAATCGTCCTCCCTCTTCCCCCACTCAGAAGAAGGTCAGATAACACAGACCAGAGCAAGAATGAGATCATACAGAAAGAAGATAAATGACACCAGAAACGGAAGCAGTGTGCTGCATTCAGCCCGACGTCATTCTTCAAACCCTACAATCCAATTTATAATTATATTCATTCATCTATTCAATCTTTACTGTCCCTTTGCTTGGTTAGCTGCTTATCCGCTTTGAGTTTTAATTAAGCATCCCTTTCTTTCATTTCTATGAATCCTGGATGCTTTTTTCATTTACAGATTGTCCTCGATTTACGACAATTGAGCACAGCATTTCGGTGGCTAAGTGAGACGTCAAAGGAGAATATTTGTAGCTCAGGGTAGAAATGAGGGGTCCTTGGTGCTCTCTTGAGCTACAAGCTCAGAGAGCATCAAGTGAGACATTTGTTAAGTGAAGTTTGGCCTGTTTTACGACCTTTCTCGCCACAAAACAAATCCCTGCAGGCATTAAGTTAGTAACACGGTTCTTAGGTGAATCTGACTTCCCCGTGTGACTTGACTTGCCAGAAGGTCACAAAAGTGGGTCTGCAACTGTCATAAATATGAGTCCATCGCCAAGCATCTGAATTTTGATTGCGTGACTGCGAGGAAGCTACAACGGTCGTAAGTGCGAAAAATGGTCCTAAATCACTTTTTCCCATGCCGTTATAAACTACGAACAGTCACTAAACGAACTCGCTGTAAATTGAGGGCTAAAGTAAAGGTAAAGATTCCCCTCGCACATATGTGCTAGTCGTTCCCGACTCTAGGGGGCGGTGCTCATCTCCGTTTCAAAGCCGAAGAGCCAGCGCTGTCCGAAGATGTCTCCGTGGTCATGTGGTCATGACGCAACGCCAAAGGCGCATGGAATGCTGTTACCTTCCCACCAAAGGTGGTCCCTATTTTTCTACTTGCATTTTTTACGTGCTTTCGAACTGCTAGGTTGGCAGAAGCTGGGACAAGTCACGGGAGCTCGCCCCGTTATGCAGCACTAGGGATTCGAACCGCTGAACTGCCGACCTTTAGATCGGCAAGCTCAGCGCCTTAGCCACCGCGTCCCAAGTTGAGAGCTACCTGTATTTTAATTTTTCTGATTTTCCTTGGCCAGGGAGTGGACGATTTCTACTTTCTTTCTGTGTGTCTCCTTAGGAACTTTTATAACCATCGTGATGTGGAAGAATCAGAAATCGGAAAAAAAATCTGCTTGAGGAGAGGAAGATGGGACATCCCTTCCAGGGTTCAGTTTTGGGGAAAACGGTGCAGCCATTAGCAAGATATTTGGGGTGCCACCATTAATCCCATCATCCCCACCCCATCCAGGCATGGACCGAGTTTCCAAACTGTGAATCAAAGAGATTCAACCTGAAGAGATTCCCCACGTATATGCTACCGAATCTGAAATCCCAGAGCGAGGGTTCCACCCGATCTATGTTTTTTAGGGTCCAAATTTAAGCCTGGAAATTCGACTAGGACTGACGTTTACCAGGCCCCAGTTCTAGTTATATTTTTTTGTGTGTTTTTTTTTAAAAATCCTGCTTTTCTCCTGCATCATCTCGTGTGGTGTTTTGTGGTGTCTCTGGATTGCGTTGGTCTTCTTCGTGCGAGCGCCCGCTCAACCTTGTAATTCGCTCCTGAGGGAATGGTTAGATCCTTCCAGAATCATCCTTCGGTTTTCCAGCATAGGGAGAAACCTATTCTTGTCACAGATTTGTTATTCTTAATTTTTTTTAATTTATGTCTCAAATCAAGTGATCGTCGAGATGGTGTTAATGAGTATTAATTGTAAACTTCGAATGACCCAGTTAAACGGCGATTACAAATAGGGCCCACTCCTTTCTCCTAGAAGTGGGGTGTCAAACTCGGTTTCATTGAGGGCCACATCATGGCTGTCTTTGACCTCGGGGGAGGGCATGGCCACGTCACTTGGATTGGAGGCACCTGTGGTAGCCCGAGAGCTCTTGTCAGTGAAAACAGGCTCCCAAACTCCGTTTTCGGCTGTGACGGCTTCCTGCAACCCTCTGCCAGAGAAAACAAGGCTCAGGAGGGCCGCACGAGCTCCGTTTTTGGCTCCAACTGCCTCCCGTAACCCTCTGCCAGTGAAAACGGAGCTCAGGAGGGCCGTGCGAGCTCCATTTTCAGCTGCAGCTGCCTCCTGCAACCATCTGCTAACAAAAACGGAGTTCAGGAGGGCCGCGCGAGCTCCGTTTTCAGCTGCCTCCTGCAACCTTCTGCCAGTGAAAATGGAGCTCAGGAGGGCCGCGCGAGCTCCGTTTTCGGCTGGAGCTGCCTCCTGCAACCCCCTGCCAGTGAAAATGGAGCTCAGAAGGGCCTCACACGGCCTTCCCAAGCTCCGTTTTCGCTGGTAGAGGTACCGCAGGCCAGTCCTTTGCTGTTTTCAGGGTACACCCCATGGGCCAGATCCAGACCCCAGCCCTTGAGTTTGACACCCCTGTCCTAGAACGATGTAAAAAAAAAAAACCAGTTCAAAAGACTTGTTCAAAAGTTTCTTTTTCACTCACAAAAGCCCTCCTCTGCTGATGTCCTCGTTAAATCTCAGCGCAGAAAAGTTTGTTTACTGGGTGAAAGTAGGAATAGTAGTGCAATGTTTCGTTCTAGCACTGTCTTAATTTCTTCAGTTCTCCGCCCGGAAAGGAATGGATCATATTTGTAATTACCGTTTAACTGGGTCATTCAAAGTTTCCAATCTTCACTTTCATTGCACTTTTTTAAAAAAAGCAAAGTGAGGAGGATTAATGTTTGTGCATTTGTGTTAATAATTCAGATAAGATTATGCGCTCCGGGGCCGCAAAATATTCAAATGTTTTCCCCAAAAATAGATTTCTGGATCTCGTTTTCTGCAATATAGATACATTCCTCAGTATTCAAAACTCAGTTTCCTCCCTTCTGGGCCTGGTTATGCAAAGAGGTCTAACAATAAAATGTTTTTCTTATAGTGATTTGTTTTGCCTGCTTCCGTGTGACTCTCGGCGCTTTGTCGGAAAATGAAAGGGTTGTGTGGAGTTTGTGTGTGACTTCAGGAGGGGGCTATTCCGATTTATGACCAAAGTTGAGCCCACAATTTCTGTTGTTAAGTGAGACATTAAGGAGAAATTTCCTGACAGTTAGAACAATTAATCAGTGGAACAACTTGCCTCCAGAAGTTGTGAATGCTCCAACACCGGAAGTTTTTAAGAAGATGTTGGATAACTATTTGTCTGAAGTGGTGTGTGTTTCCTTCCTAAGCAGGGGGTTGGACTAGAAGACCTCCAAGGTCCCTTCCTTGTAGGGCAGGACAAGAAGCAGTGGGTGGAGAGAAGCAACTTAGAACTAAGGAGAAATTCCCTGACAGTTAGAACAATTAACCAGTAGAACAACTTGCCTCCAGAAGTTGTGAGTGCTCCAACATTGGAAGTTTTTAAGAAGGTGTTGGATAACTATTGGTCTGAAGTGATGTAGGGTTTCCTGCCTAAGCAAGGGGTTGGACTAGAAGACCTCGCAAGGTCCCTTCCAACTCTGTTATTCTAAATTCTAAATTTATGATAAACACTTTATTGGCCAAGTGTGATTGGAAACACAAGGAATTTGTCTTCGGTGCAGAAGCTCTCAGTATACATCTAAGCAACAAGTCATCTATCATAATCATAAAATAACAATCAATCATAAATCATAAGAGACAACCCTGAATGATAGTCACAGGATGCTATATAAGCAATCAACATAAATAATAGGATACTAAATAAAAACAATCGACATAAATCATGAGATACAAACAAGTATCGTATGGCCTTCATTGTACATCATATATTGGTTAACGAAGTTATAATCATAAGAAGCGAAGGAAATAGGTAATAGGAAAGATGAAAAGATGAGAAGGAGAATAGAATAGAATAGAATAGAATAGAATAGAATAGAATAGAATAGAATAGAATAGAATAGAATAATGAATGGATTGGCATGGAATGGAATGGAATGGAATGGAATGGAATAGAATAATGAATGGAATGGAATGGAATAGAATTAATAGAATAGAATAGAATAGAATAGAATAGAATAGAATAGAATAGAAATAGAATAGAATAGAATAGAATAATGAATGGATTGGAATGTAATGAATGGAATGGAATGGAATAGAATAGAATAGAATAGAATAGAATAGAATAGAATAGAATAGAATAAAGATAGAATAGAATAGAATAGAATAGAATAGAATAGAATAGAATAGAATAGAATTCTTTATTGGCCAAGTGTGATTGGACACACAAGGAATTTGTCTTCGGTGCATAGGCTCTCAGTATACATAAAAGAAAAGATACGTTCATCAAGAATCATAAGGTACAACACTTAATGATAGCCATACAGTACAAATTAACAATCAGGAAACAATATCAATATAAATCATTAGGATACAAGCAAGAAAATTACAGTCATAAGTGGAAGGAGATGGATGGTGGGAATGATGAGAAGATTAATAGTAGTAATACTGTAGGTAATATAGACCTACTAGGTGGTTTAACATCCCAGGGGATAGGACAGTGCTGTGGGAATTAGTTGTTTAGCAGAGTGATGGCATGGGGGGAAAAAAACTGTCTTTGTGTCTAGTTGTTCTGGCGTGCAATGCCCTATAACCGTGATGGCGAACCTATGATACGGGTGCCCGAAGTGGCATGCAGACCCATGTCGCCTGGCACACGTGGCATCGCCTGTTCCTCTTCCAGGTTTCTGGCGTGCATGCACACGTGACAATCAGCTGGCTTTCGTGTTTGCGGTAGTGCTGGAAACTGAAAGATCTGGTCTTCCATTTTCCTGCGTGATCATGTGCGCCGGCCAGCTGATTGTCGCGCACGCATGCACGCCAGAAACCCAAAAGATTAGCTGGCCAGCACCAGAATTTTCGGGCACTTGGTGCTGAAAAGGTTCGCCATTCACTGCCCTATAGTGTCATCTTGCAGGAAGAAAGTTGAAACAGTTGATGTCCAGGATGCGAGGGGTCTGTAAATATTTTCCCAGCCCTCTTTTTGACTCGTGCAGTATACAGGTCCTCCATGGAAGGCAGGTTGGTAGCCATTGTTTTTTCTGCAGTTCTAACTATCCGTTGAAGTCTGTGTCTGTCTTGTTGGGTTGCAGAACCAAACCAGACAGTTATGGAGGTGCAGATGACAGACTCAATCATTCCTCTGTAGAACTGGATCAGCAGCTCCTTGGGCAGTTTGAGCTTCCTGAGTTGGTGCAGAAAGAACCTTCTTTGATGATATCGTTTTGATGTTAGGTGTCCATTTAAAGTCCTGAGATATTACAGAACCCAGAAATGTGAAGGTCTCTACTGTTGATACTGTTGTGTTGTGTTGTCTAGAGGTGGTAGAATAGGAGGGCTTCTCCTAAAATCTACCAAGGTGGAAACCAGTTTGTTGGGTTGGTACCTGTAAACCTCTCCTGGGCAGTGGGGGGTTTCAAATTTTTTTACTACCGGTTCTGTGGGTGTGGCTTGGTAGGCGTGGCTTGGTGGGTGTGGCATGGGAAGGATACTGTAAAATCCGCATTCCCTCCCCAATCCAGGGGAAGGTTACTGCAAAATCCCCATTCCCTCCCCACTCCAGGGAAAGGATACTGTAAAATCTCCATTCCCTCCCCACTCCAGGGGAAGGTTACTGCAAGATCCCCAGTTGGTACTCAGCAGGCAGAGAATAGATGGGGGCAAGGCCAGTCAGAATTTTTACTATCGGTTCTCCGAACCACTCAAAATTTCCGCTGCCGGTTCTCTAGAACTGGTCAGAACCTGCTGAAACCCACCTGTGCTCCTCGGTCTTTGTGGATGGAATCCTGGCAGGATCATTGACTGACGGTTAAACATCTGCTGAGCTTTCCCACTGGGTTCCACCGTTTCTAAGGAGACAAGAACCATCAAGCGATCTCATCTCTGGTTGATTTCACCTTGGCTCTCCGGCATCATGGCTTCAACGCTGCAATTGAAGGTATCTCTAGGAATCTTTGTTTTTCTCCACTCCTCTTCCCCTTGCACTGGTGCCTCTACTAAGAGGTGAACATGGGTTTTTTCCTCTCTCTCTCTCTCTCTCTCTCTTGAACCCCTTGCCTCTCTGCTTAGCTCAGCTGCCCACCTTCAGCCATGCAGTCCAGTATCTCGTACCGAAGGCCTCACAGGACCTGGTCGGCCATTCAAAGGATGCTGGGGCGTGTCCGCCAGCAATGGAAGCTGCTGGGCTTTTTTGAAATCAACGAGCAGCATGAATATTTTAAATTCACCTGTATGCTCAAAGAAGGGCTGAAGGCCTCCATCCAGAAGACCATCGATGAACCGGTCAGCATGGTAAGTTCCAGAAATACTTCTTCTTGTGCCATATCCGTCATCGGACGTTGGAGATCATGTAGGCCATCCTATTTTTGTCAACAGCTGCATGAAAAAGCGCTGCTGAGTTTTGTACAAACCGGTCCCTTAGGTTTTGAAGCCATGATGATGTTCTTCTGCCTGGATCTCCTTTGCCTTCCATCTTTCCCTGGAAGATTAAGCAAAGGATGCCGTATTTTTCTGGGTGTCGCATCACCATGTCCAAAATATTCTAACTTTCACTTTTTAATGGCTTTCATTATTTTCCTTGGCTTTCCCAGGTGGCTTATCACCTCCTCATTTCTGATTTCGTCAGCCCAACTTATATGTAACAGCCGTCTATAAATCCACATTTCAAATGCTTCTAGTCTCTTCAAGTGACTTTCTGCCAGAGACCAACTCTCCACTTCTTAGAGCAGGATAGAAAAGATGTAACATCTGACAGGCCTGATTTTCAGTTTTAGGCTTATGTTGTGACTGCAGAAGTTCTTTTTCAGATCCTAGTCCAGAAAGACTACGGGTTTCCCCCACCCCCATCCTTCCAGATTAGAAATCTTGTCCTAGAGACTTAAGAACGGTTGCAGGATTTGGGTATGGCATGGCTAGTCTAGAGAAAAGAAGGACTGGGGGGGGCATCTTAGAGAGCAGACAGCAGGAGGCCGATGTGGAGGCAGAGAAGACAGTTAGATTAAACATGAGTGATGTAGAGGGATACAAGATCCCAAGGGAGATCGATTAAACAGTCAATAAGAGTTGAAATACTAAAACGGGCAAGAGATGATGGATAGACATACAATAGACATACATCTTAATATGGGATTTGTTTTAGTAAAGGCTAAAAAATACAGCTAGAAATTAAAAATTGGGAAAATGTTATTATGCATACCCTTATAGGATAGAAGCTATTATAGTTAATACCGTGTTTCCCCGAAAATAAGACCCTGTCTTATATTTTTTTGAACCCTGAAATAAGCGCTTGGCCTTATTGCCATGAGCTCAAAAGCCCGATTGGGATTATTATCAGGGGATGTCTTATTTGGGGGGAAACAGGGTAGGTAGGTAGGTAGGTAAGTAGGTAGGTAGGTAGGTAGGTAGGTAGGTAGGTAGATAGATAGATAGATAGATAGATAGATAGATAGATAGATGATAGAGAGAGAGAGAGACAGACAGACAGACAGACAGACAGACAGACAGATATACATATACGTATAACGTATACGTGTGTGTGTATAAAAAAGAAAGAAAAAGAATGGTTTCAGGATTTGGGTATGTCTAGCCTGATGAAAAGAAGGACTAAGGGAGATATGATAGCAGTCTTCCAATATCTCAGGGGCTGCCCCAAAGAAGAGGGAGTCAAGCTATTCTCCAAAGCCCCTCAGGGCAGGACAAGAAGCAATGGGTGGAAACTCATCAAGGAGAGAAGCAACCTGGAACTAAGGAGAAATTCCCTGAAAGGGAGAACAATTAACCAGTAGTACAGCTTGCCTTCAGAAGTTGTGGGTGCTTCATCGTTGCTGGTTTTATAAGAAGGGGCTGGATAGTCACTTTTCTGGAACGGTCTCGGGTCTCCTGCTTGAGTAAGGGGTTGAACTAGAAGACCTCCAAGGTCCCTTCCAACTCTATTCTGATTGATTGATTGACCTCCAAAATCCCTTCCAGCACTATTCTGTGTATGTATGTATATATACTTTCCTGGGAGCCATAGCAAGGAATCTCTGAGGATGTTAGGTTTCCATGATTGTTGAGAAGACCAGATAGGAATGGAGGTTCTACCAACTCCATCCTTTCCTCTCTCTTCTGTAGGAGTCGCAAAAGCCATCTGATTTTCAAAGGGTGCTTAAGCAGATGCACGAGGTAAGAACAGCTGGATTTGTATTCTTAGCCCATGAATCCTAGAAGCCGAACGAAGCGTGCCCCAAGCAAAGAGATGGGCAAGCTACCTTTGACCATCCCCCAAGCATCTCGATCTTAGACTTGGGGTCGGAACTTGACACCTCACTGCCAGTCCGCCACGAACCCTGAGGGGAGGCTGGAAGGGAGATCGAGAGACCTTTGGGGAAAGTGAAATTGAACGGTGAGAATCGTTCTCTGCGAGAACCGAGGACGACTTCAAGGCCGTATCCCTGGGAGAGGAATGCCAACAGGTAGAGTGGTTATTTCCAACACATCTCTTTTAAAATTGATTGGACAATCAATGAGAGAAACCAGCAATGGGTATGGGACTAAGGAAGGAAAGTTACCTGGGAAAATTTGGCCCACCAATCCTTAGCTCTGTTTTTTTTTTTTCGCTACTGTAATTCACTTGACTTCCAGTAAACTCTACCTTTATCAATCAGTTCTTCAACCCAGGGGGGCAAACTGAAGAGCAGGTCTCCTCGGTTGACCTTTTCCTACACTTCTCTGTCTGCCTCTTGAGGTGATCCCCAGCTCCGTTCTTCTGCAGGGTTACGAGATGCGGACCTACGCAGCTCCCGTCTTTGCCCGTTTCCGGCAGTACCTTGGCATGATGGACACGGATTTCCAAAAGTCCTTGACGTGTGAGAGTTCGTACCTGCAATTCATCAGTAACTCTAAAAGCAAAGCTGACTTCTTCCTCACGTAAGGCATCGAAAGGGGGAAACCCAAGGAGAGAAATTCTTTTAAAAGGTCTTGTACTGGACAGGGCCAACAACCATACCAAACTACATTCATTTTGTTATATCTATCAACTATCTATTTCTCCATCCTTCCACCTACTCAACCTATAGTCTGTCTGTCTGTCTGTCTGTCTGTCTGTCTCTATCCATCCAATTTGTCTATCATCTATGACCTACTTATCTATTATCTATCTATCTATCTATCTATCTATCTATCTATCTATCCATCCATCCATCTCCATCCATCCATCCATCCTCCATCCATCCAGTTTTTCTGTCTATCTATCACCTGCCTATTTATTAACTATCTATCACCTATCAATCAATCTACCTATTTCTATCTATCCATCCACCTACTCAACCTACCATCCATCCATCTGGCTTGTCTATCTGCTACCTATCTGTCTATCTATCTATGATTACCTATCTATTAGTTATCTATCTTTTTTTTTTTTTTTTTTTTTTTTGAATTTGATTTTATTATAACATGTAGTAATACAATCGGTACATTTTGGTTCATTGGTGCAGTTATATACATATATACATCTGCATACATTATTGCTTGTCTTTTGTTGATATTGTTTCTTGGAGCTAGATTTAATTTCAAACATTTAAAAATAATAGTGCTCAACTCCCTAAGACTAAATCTAATACTATTCATATAGATTTTGTTAATTAGTTAAAATTTAATCTCTATTACCTTCTTTATTTCTTTCCCCCATCCATTCGTACCACATGTCCCACACGCTATAAAATTCTGAATCTTCTCTGTCATTAAGTTCTGAAGTCAATTTGTTCATTTCGGCGCACTCCAAATATTTTTCCAATAACATGTTCTTGAGGTGGTATTTGTTTTTCTTTCCAATACTGGGCAAAGAAATTCTAGCGGCTGTCAGAATATGTATAATTAAATACTTTTTCTTTTTTGCATATTCAGTTTTCAAAATTCCCAGAGAAAAGCTTTTGGGTCAAAATCAAAATTTTCTTTTATTATTTCTCTAATCCATACCCATATCATCCTCCAGAATTTTTGTGCCTGATTACATGTCCACCAGCAATGATAAAAAGTACCCTGCTGATGGTCACATTTCCAACATTTAGGGCTCGAATTGGGTAGATCTCGCTATCCTGGGCTGGGGCCATATGCCATCTATAAAACAGCTTGTATTGGTTTTCCTTATAAGCCGTCGCCTTTGTCATTTTAAGGTTGTTATTCCATATTGAATCCCATTCGTTCAAATTTATATTCTGTCCTATATTTTTGGCCCATGCTAACATCGTTTCTTTAACTACTTCCTCTGCCATATCATACTCCAATAAATAATTATATAATTTAGCTAAAATTTTCGTCCGTACCCATCCATATCTTATCAAATCCATTTATGCTCATTTCAATGCCGAATTCCTCCTTATCTTTTTTATATCTGGATTTAATTTGGTTATATGGCCACCAGTCTATAGAAATACCTTGTTCCATCAATTCTTCCCTTGTTTTAAGGTTCCCTCCCCCATCTAATAATTCATTGTATCTGAACGTTTTACCCATTTCTAATACATTTGGATATATTATAGCCTCCATGGTGGAAAGCCATCTCGGAATTTTCCTATATGCTTCTGTCTCATCTCTCCCCATATTTGTATCAAGATCTCCCTTATTTTATGTCTATGGAAGTAAGTTTTTATCTTCTTCCCAGTATCCCAGAGATATGCATGCCACCCTTCTGGAGATCATACCCTTCTAGAGTTAACAGTCTTTTATTTCTTAGGGTTGCCCATTCTTTCAGCCATACTAGGTTTGCAGCTTTTTGATATAACTCCCATTTAGGTAATCCGAAACCCCCTCTTTCCTTCTTGTCCTGTAAATTCCTAATCGCTATCCTTGGTTTCTTTCCCTCCCAAATAAATTTCCTGATGATGCTATTGAGCTCCAGAAAGAATTTTTATCTAATTTAACAGGGACCGTTCGGAATAGATACAATAACTTGGGTAATATGCTCATTTTTATTGCCGCGATTCTGCCTAATAATGATATCTGTAGTCTTCCCCACTTTTCCAGATCCTGTTTAATATTTCTAATCAATGGTAAATAATTATCCTCTCTGAGGGCCGAGCACCTTGATGAAATCCAGACCCCCAGTATTTTACCTTCTTGGCGATTTGGATCTCCATTGTTTCTTCCAGTACTTTTTCCTTGCCTCCGTCATATTTGTATTAGTTATCTATCATGTAGCTATCAGTCTATCTCTATTGATCCAACCACCCACAGCTTGTCTGTCTGTCTATCTATCTATCTATCTATCTATCTATCTATCTATCATCTATCCATCCATCCATCCATCCAGTTTTTCTGTCTGTCTATGATCTGCCTATTTATTAACTATCTATCACCTATCAATCAATCTACCTATTTCTATCCATCCATCCACCTACTCAACCTACCATCCATCCATCTGGCTTGTCTGTCTGCTATCTGTCTATCTATCTATGATTTACCTATCTATTTATCTATTATCTAGCTATCAGTCTATCTCTATTCATCCAGCCACCCATAGCTTGTCTGTCTGTCCATCCATCATCTATCTATCTATCTATATCTATCTATCTATCTATCTATCTATCTTATCTATCTATCTTTCCATCCATCCAGTTTATCTGTTTACCATCTATCTGTCTATCTATGATCTACCTATTTATTAACTATCACCTATCAATCAATCTACCTATTTCTATCCATCCATCCACCTACTCAACCTACCATCCATCCATCTGGCTTGTCTATCTGCGACCTATCTGTCTATCTATCTATGATTACTTATCTATTAGCTATCTATCATCTAGCTATCAGTCTATCTCTATTCATCCAACCATCCACAGCTTGTCCGTCCGTCCATCCATCATCTATCTATCTATCTATCATCTATCTATCTATCTATCTATCATCTATATTTGTTTATCATCTATATCTATCTATCATTATCTATCGTTATCCTATCTATCTATCTATCTATGTATCTATCTATCTATGTATCTATCTATCTATCTATCTATCTATCTATCATTAATTCCCCACTGTATTATTGTTTATACATACTAAAATAAGATGAAAAGGGGGAGGAAAACCCCCCCCGCTAAATACAGTATCTACTTATTCAATTCCTGAATTTTCCCTCCTCCTTTGCCCTCCAGTCAACACAACATTATTGACTAACATCCTCTAAATGAGAGTTTGTGTTGTTCTTTTCAAAGAGCACGTCAAAAACACATCAAGAAAAGTCTTGCTCCTTCTGGAAAAGAGGGGTGAACAGCCTTACACACACACACACACACACACCCATCTACCTTGCCGTAGCCGTTTCTTCTCCCCTTGGCAGGTTCGACAAGCGTTATTTCCTGAAGACGCAACGGAAACGCGAGATCCGGTTCCTCCTCACTAACCTTTCCAAATACCTGGATCACTTGGAGAGATACCCGCACTCCATCCTTGTGAAATTCCTGGGTAAGGCTGAGCCATCCGCTGGCCAACTCAACGGGTAACGGAAAAGAAACAAAAAGCTGTTTCAAGAGGAAGAGCTACATCTTCCTCTTCCAAGTGTTTCGTCTTTTGCTCTGCCCCACAGGTGTTTACAGCATCATTGCCCCTCAAGAGAAAAAGGTAGGCAGTCTTCAAACTCCAGCCAAAATTTGCAGTGTATGATCAAATTCCTCTTAATGTGAATCAGCCGTGACCAGCCCACTCCCAAAATCTCATCACTCTCATTTCCATCTCGTTTCTTCCATGAGAGAGAGAAACAGAAACAGAGAGAGAAAAAGACAAAGAGAAACAGAGACAGAAAGAGAGGGAAGAGAGAGAGAAACAGAGAGAAGCAGAGAGAGAGAAAGAGAGACGAGAGAGACAAAGAGAGAAACAGAGAAACAGACAGAAAGAGAGGGAAGAGAGAGAAACAAAAGCAGAAACAGAGAAAGAGACAGAGAGAAACAGAAACAGACAGAAAGAGAGGGAAGAGGGAGAGAGAAGCAGAAACAGAAAAAGACAGAGAGAAAAAAGAAACAGACAGAAAGAGAGGGAAGAGGGAGAGAGAAACAGATACAAAGAGGGAAGAGAGGAAGGGAGGGAGAGAGAGGGACACACAGAGACAGATAGATAGGGAGGGAGGAAGTGAAGGAGAGAAGGGGAGAGAGAGACAGAGAGGACAAAGTGGGAGGGAGGGAGAGGAGAGAGAGAAAGGGAGGGGGAGTGGCAGAGACAGACCGGGATAAAAAGGGAGGGAGAGGAAGAGGGAGGAAGAGAGGGAGAGGGACAGAAAGAGAGAGAGGGACAGAGAGAGGAAGACATAGAGAGAAACAGATCTCAACACTCTCATTTTCATCTCCTTGTTTCTTCCAAGAGAGAGAGACAGAGGGAGGGAGAGATGTTCATTGCGGGGCTGGTCTTCCTCTGGGATCTCCCACCTCCCCATTATTTTTGATGGCTCTCGAGAACCAACGTTGGCTTTTGATCCTTCAACTCTTCCATCAGGTTCAACCTGCCCATCCGCTCACCCTTTCTGTTTCTCCCCGTAGAGATACTTCATCATCATGCAAAGCGTCTTCTATCCACATGAGAAGATTAACGAACGGTGAGTTGTCCAACACTGGTTTCTGAGAGATGGAAGATGGCCGAGCTTGGCTGAAGATGAGGTCCATGAGTCTATCTTCTCCACATTTCTCTCAAGAAGACTCAAGCACTCAATTCAGTGCCGTAAAACATATTCCTTTACGACTGGATTCCTAGCTGTCCTTTTAGATCTCTTTGGGATGAGATGTAGAACCTCCTTGCCATCAACCAATGATAAAGCGTCTTACAGATGGGTGGACTTCAACTCCCAGAATTCCCCTGAATTTATAGCCACTGCTAAGAATTCTGGGACCCGAACCCGTCTGGATGTTGTTCCAGGCTGAGGAACACTCTAACCCTATCCTTACTACAAGCTGAATCCACGTGGACTGATGTTCCCGATTTAATGTGTTCCTGCAGGTATGACATCAAAGGGTGCCAAGTCGGACGCTGGACAGAGCCCACGGTAGACAGCAGTGAAGTCATTGTCGTTTTTAAGGACTGCGACTTTGGAGGCAAGGTGATCACAATTAGTAAGTTTCTGCTCGCCACGGTACATGTGATCTGAAATCTTGGATCAGTTAGGATGTCATACTAAAATTATACAACTGAAATGGTGGGTTTCAAAAAATTTTTACTACCAGTTCTGTGGGTGCGGCTTGATGGGCGTGGCAGGGGAAGGATACTGTAAAATCTCCATTCCCACCCCACTCAAGGGGAAGGTTACTGCAAAATCCCCATTTCCTCCCAATCAGCTGGGACTTAGCAGGCAGGGAATAGATGGGGGCGGGGCCAGTCGGAATTTTTACTACCAGTTCTCCGAACTACTCAAAATTTCCACTACCGATTCTCCAGAAATATCCCATGCAAGATATTTAATACTGGCTAAGAACGTCTGAGGCCGTAATTCCCAGTTTTGAATATCGGGCCAAGTCGAACCCTAAATTTGATTTTTTTTTTAACTTGATGATGGGGATGATGATGTTGCCCATTAAGTTGTGTCTGATTCTTGGCGATTCTATGGGCCAAGTCTTTCCAGATCTTCTGGAGTTGTTCTATGCTCTGGCTGATGCCAACTTTGATGGCATCCAGCTACCATGTCTTTTGACTTAATTCCAGATAAATAATAACATAGAGTAGCACAAGGACTTTCCAGTTGTTGTTGTTGTTGTTCCTCCTCCTCCTCCTCCTCCTCCTCCTCCTCCTCCTCCTCCTCCTCCTTCTTCTTCCCTCCTCCTCTTCCTCCTCCTCTTCTCCTTCTTCCTCTTCCTCTTCCTCTCCTTCTCCTTCTCCTTCTCCGTCTCCTTCTCCTTCTCCTTCTCCTTCTGATTATGATTATTATGATTATTATGATTATTATATTTACTTTATTCATTAAACATGAAACTCAGTCAACTGAACATTCAAAACCGCATCACAGATATCATTGACTGGTGTTAATGGTTGATACGGGTTGTTGCCAGCGTCCTAGGTATCAACCAAGTACCTTCTTAAGATATATGATGTTCCAAGTAGCGCAGTTTTTTTGCAGTTCCGCTGGTGTTATTGCAGGAAGCTGCAGTTTGTTGATGTATCTTATAAAATTCTTGCACATGGTACCAAGTGCCCTGATGACAATGGGTATCAATGTTACATGTTTCATCCATAGCCGTGTAGTTTCGATGGCCAGGTTGCGATATTTCATGATTTTTTCCAGTTCTTTTTCTTCGACTCTGGCATCTCCTGGTATCGTGATGTCAATAAATTGTACGTTTCAGTTTTCGACAACGGTGATGTCTGGCTTGTTGTGTTCCAAGTGACGATCCATCTGTATTCGAAAGTCCCACAAGATCTTCACTTTCTCATTTTCTATAACTTTTTCCACTTTATGTTCCCATGATTTTTGGGATAAGTCGTATTTTTTACATAATGACCAGTGGATTAATTTAGCAACTCGTGTCTAGCTTTGTAATCAGTTTGTGCAATTTTGCTGCATTCACATATTAAATGTGAAACAGTTTTGACTTTGTCGTCGCAAAGTCAGCAGTTTGGATTGTCGGTGGATTTTTGTATCTTTGCTTTCATGGCATTAGTTTGTAGTGCTTGTTCTTGAGCAGCCAGTATTAAACCTTCCGTTTCTTTCTTGATGGTTCCCATCTTAAGCCATGCCCATGTCAAGTTGTCATCACATGTTCCTTCAATATTTTTCAAGTGCTGTCCGTGCAAAGCTTCGGGTTTCCATCTATTTAATCTGTCATCCGGCTGTTTTTCCTTATATTCTGCCTTTGTTTCTGTTGTTTTTATAATGTTCTCCATTTTCATAGCCTGCAGCAATTTTTCTGTACTTTGGTTCACATAATCATTCAAACTTCATTTTTCTTCTTCTACAGTTTGATGGATTTGCAATAGTCCTCTGCCCCCTATTTTCCTTGGCAGGTGCAACCTGTCGATGTCACTTCATGGATGTAAAACATGGTACATATTCAAAAGTTTGCGCGTTTTCCAGTCCAAGTTTTCCAGTTCAGCCAAAGTCCAGTTGATGATTCCAGCTGAGTAGCGTATCACTGGAACTGCCCACGTATTAATGCCTCTAATTATGTTTCCAGCATTCAGTTTTGATTTTAATATTTTGCGGACCCTCCTGATGTATTCCTTTTGCGTTGGCTCTTTGACTTTTCCATTCAAGATGTTATCTGTTTCCAATATGCCTAGGCATTTGTAACCATCATACTTTGCTAATGCTTTTACTATGTTTCCATTTCCAGGTTCTATTCCTTCTATTTTTTTCATTTTTCCTTGCTGCGTGGATAATATAGCACATTTTTCAAGTCCAAAGTTGATTTTGATGTCGCTGCTGAACAGTTGAACTGTGTTAAGTATTGATTTAAGTTCAGTGAGGCTTTTCGCATACATTTTTAAGTCATCCATGTATAGTAGATGGTTTATCTTGCCATGTTGGCTTGAGATTTGGTGGTATCCCAGTTTTGTGTTTCGTAGGATTATTATCAATGGAATTAATGCGATGTTGAACAGTACTAGTGAAAGTGAGTCCCCCTGGAAGATTCATCATCAATAATAATAATAATAATAATAATAATAATAATAATAATAATAATAATAATATTTGCTGGCCTGTAGCATGCTCAGAATTGGAAACCTTTGTAGTTTGAAACTACAGCTGTTTGGAGCATGGAAGCTTGGCACTCAAATTCGCTAGAACTCAGAACATTTCCAATAAAAACAGAACAATTTTAGTATATTCCTGGCAAGATTGGAGCAATCTGATGGGAATATTTCAGGCTGAAAATGCTATGTATAGAGTAACCCTTGTTTTAAAAGGGACTGAGGGTGCCAACATTTGGAGGGCTACAAGGGCATCGGAGTTCTTAGGAGGTGGGAGAGCTGATCTGATTCTGGAACCATTGGGAGATATCCCTGCTTTCTGGGTCCAGAGGGCATCAAGCCTCTCCCCTTCTCTCCTCCACCCAGATCAAGAGCAGACCTGGTTGCTGCAACAAGTGAAGTTGGACACCCAGTTCCTCAAAGCTTTGCATGTGATTGACTACAGTTTGCTGGTGGGCCTGCAACCTCTCCATGATGATGACCAGTTCCTGGACAACACGCTGGGAAATATATTAGCCAGGACAAGATTGTGAGAGTTTTGCCAGGATGGGTGGGTGGGTGGGTAGAGGAGCCCCGTGTGTAACACTCTGAATCTTGGCTTTATAAATCATAATCAAAACCAAGGGAATCCCATTAGCCTCAACATCATCAGAGGTTTGCAAGATCAGATGGCATGAAGGGAGGGAGGAGGGATGGTTGGTTGGTTGGTTGGTTGGTTGGATGGATGGATGGATGGATGGATGGATGGATGGTTGTTGGTTGGAGGGAGGGAGGGAGGGTGGGATGGATGGTTGGTTGTTGGATGGTGGAGGGGGAGGGATGGTTGGATGGATGGATGGATGGTTGGATGGTTGGATGAATGGTTGGGAGGGAGGGAGGGATGGTTGTTGGGTGGATGGATGGATGGTTGGTTGGAGGGAGGGAGGAGGGTGGGATGATGGTTGGTTGGTTGGATGGTTGGACGGGGGAGGGATGGTTGATGGATGGATGGATGGTTTGATGTTTGGATGAATGGTTGGGAGGGAGGGATGGTTGGTTGGGTGGATGGATGGATGGTTGTTGGAGGAGGGAGGGAGGGTGGGATGGATGGTTGGTTGGTTGGATGGTTGGAGGGGGAGGATGGTTGGATGGATGGTTGGATGGTTGGATGAATGGTTGGAGGGAGGGAGGGATGGTTGGTTGGGTGGATGGATGGATGGATGGTTGGTTGGAGGGAGGGAGGGAGGGTGGGATGGATGGTTGGTTGGTTGGATGGTTGGTTGGTTGGATGGTTGGACGGAGGGATGGATGGTTGGATGGATGGATGGATGGATGGATGGTTGGATGAATGGTTGGGAGGGAGGGGGGATGTTGTTGTGATGGATGGATGGTTGGTTGGAGGGAGGGAGGGAGGGTGGGATGGATGGTTGGTTGGTTGGATGGTGGACGGGGAGGGATGGTTGGATGGATGGATGGATGGTTTGATGGTTGGATGAATGTTGGGAGGGAGGGAGGATGGTTGGTTGGTGGATGGATGGATGGTTGGTTGGAGTGGGAGGGAGGGTGGATGGATGGTTGGTTGGAGGGTGGAGGGAGGTGGGATGGATGGTTGGTTGGATGGATGGTTGGATGGTTGGATGAATGGTTGGGAGGGAGGGAGGGATGGTTGGTTGGTGGATGGATGGATGGTTGGTTGGAGGGTGGGAGGGAGGGATGAATGGATGGATGGATGATTGGTTAGTTGGTTGTTCGATGGTTGGTTGGTTGGATGGATGGATGGATAGATGGTTGGAGGGTGGGAGGGAGGGATCGTTGGCTGGCTGGCTGGTTCATTCATTCATTCATTCATTCATTCATTCATTCATTCTCTATCCTCCAACAACTCAGAATTACTTCCTACCTTAACACAGTGTTTCTTAACCCTGATATCTATATGGACTTCAACTCCCAGAATTCCCCATACAACACGCTTGAAGATGGGTAGCTATCAACTCCTAGAATTCCCCAGTGAATCATGCAGTTGTTAAGTTAGTAACATGGTTGTTAAGTGAATCTGGCTTCCCCATTGACTTTGCTTGTCAGAAGGTCCCAAAAAGAGGATCAAATTACCCCGGGACACTGCAACGGTCATAAATGTGAATTCAGGTTCCCAAGCATCCAAATTCTGATCTCGTGATCACGAGGATGCTACAAATGTCATAACTGTGAAAAACAGTCGTAAGTCGCTTTTTTCAGGGCCGGTGTAAGTTCAAACGGTCCCTAAACAAACATCCGTCAGCAAAGACACCTGGAACACAGGTGCGTCTGACCTCCATTTTTTCCCCCTGCCACCAGGTCCCTCAGCTGTGAGTATCCTCGCCGCAACATTCCCAGAGTTTCCTCCAACACGTCTTCCAGCAGCTCCTCCAGTTATGAGCATATCCTCCGGCTCTATCCAGATTACTTGTCTCCCTACTTGAGACCTGACCGACCACCGGAGCAGTTGATCCGAAGTGAGGGTTTTATGCGTAACGTGGTAACGCCGTTCCTCATGCAGAACAGCTACGAGGACATGAGCTGCATCGTGGGCAGCGCGCTCCATTCCTCCATCCCCTCCGATTTAACCAATGAGTCCTTCGCCGCACAGCATCGCCGGATGCTGCCCGCCTCCAAAAACCCTCTACACACGATCGACGGGCCGGACTACCGCTATTACGTAGGCATCATTGACCTCTTCACGGTCTTCACTTTCCGCAAAAAACTGGAATGCTTATGGAAGAGCATCCGTTACCGGGGTCAGCAATTCTCTACAGTCGAACCTTCTTACTACGCCCAGAGATTGTGTCAGTGGGTGGAAAGCCACACTATATGAAACTGGAAAGGAGGCGGTGGGCCAGTTGTAACTGAAAGTAGGGCTCTTCTCGGAAGGTCTCTTCTCGGAGGTTCTCCCGGTCCCTGCAGATCAGTATTCAAGTTTCAACCCAAGTCACCTCTTGTGATTTTATTGGTGACCTCTTGGCTACCCAAGAGATGAAGCTGAGTGAAATTTCCCTAGAAATAGGCCACTTGGCAAGCAAGGATGGGTGAGGTTCTAGAGGACATCTAGGTGGTGGCATTGCAAAAACTAGGTGGACACCTCAACCCTGCGGACATTGCAATCAGCGGCACTGAGTCCCTCAAAGTCAGAGAGAACAGCACGGGGGGAGGGGGCACCATCCAGTCTTCTCCCAAACGAGCTGTGTCCTCCCGCAACCATTACTTGTCCTCCAGAGCTGTAGACGGTGCAGTCCATCTTGGGTGCTCTGTAGGCCAACCCAATCCAGGCGGGTGCGGGGGTTAATCAAGAGCTCCTTCCTCAAATGATTAAGGGTCCCCACCCCACGTGGGGCAAAGAAAGGAGGAGAATTTGGATTGAGAAGAATAAAGAGCTTCCAGAGAAAGGACTCGACTGGTTCTTTCAAAACCCACTTTGGAAGATCTCCAAGGATGGCTTCAGCCCTTCCAAGTCTTCTTCCCTAGTGACCTCACTACCCCGGGGGGAGGGGGTGTATCCATCTGTCTCAGAAGGGGCCTGTACAGTGGTCTTGATGCTGAATGATGGGGCCTCTTTGCCAAGCTGACTTTGGGGGAGCTCTTTGGCCATTCCCCCAATTTCGTACCATGTCTCAAGGTCAAGGTTCCCCTCACACATATGTGCTAGTCATTCACGACTCTAGGGGGCGGTGCTCATCTCTGTTTCAAAGCCGAAGAGCCAGCGCTGTCTGAAGACGTCTCCGTGGTCATGTGGCCGGCATGACTCAACGCCAAAGGCTCACGGAACGCTCTTCCCTTCCCACCAAAGGTGGCCCCTATTTTTCTACTTGCATTTTTTTTTTACGTGCTTTCGAACTGCTAGGTTGGTAGAAGCTGGGACGAGGAACGGGAGCTCACCCTGTATACGCATTAGGGATTCGAACCGCTGAACTGCCGACCTTTCGATCGACAAGCTCAGTGTCTTAGCCCCTGAGCCACGGCGTCCCTGGTGAGCTACCACGTCCCTGGAGAGTAAGATCATGTCGTCTTCTCCTCCAAATGTTACTTTTTTTTTTTTGCTCCCCCCAAAAAAGGTGAGGAGCAGTTGTCTCACCTTTCCAGCCCAAATGGACAGCCAGCGTCACCCTTGGCTAGCTTTGGTACCTTGGCAGATGCCCAAGGAGCCACCATCAGTCCCATCCTCCCCAGGCTATTGGCTGATGGCCCCCTTGAAGCTTTGAGCAACATGGAGGCTTGGCCAATGGCCTTCCTTGGATTCCGAAAGGTAAACCTGTTTCAAGGAGACCTAAACATTTGAGAGATATTGGCTCAGTGAACCAAGCTAAGAAGAAGTGAATCTAGTAGAACATAGAGAGGAAACTTCTCTTCCAGGTCTTCAATTACGTCACTGATCAGCTGCATGTCATACCTATGCTGTGTCACTCTGCCTTTTGCTTAGATGATCTACAAAAAGGAAACAGGAAAGCGACAGGAGAAGCTCTTCCTTCTGCAGATCACCTGATTTCTCAGGTAATAAGAGAAGGACTCAAGAGTGGGGCGTTGGCCTAGAGGCGAGCTCTTGCCTCACAATCAGGAGACTGGGAGTTCGATCCAGTGGTGAAATCCAATTTTTTTTACTACCGGTTCTGTGGGCGTGACTTGGGCGTGGTGTGGCTTGGTGGGCGTGGCTTAGTGGGTGTGGCAGGGGAAGGATACTGCAAAATCTTCATTCCCAGCTCACTCCAGGAGAACGATATAGCAAAATCTCCATTCCATCCCCATTCCAGGGGAAGGATATTACAAAATCCCCATTCCCTCCCCACTCCAGGGGAGTGATATTGCAAAATCTCCCTCCCCACTCCAGGGGAAGGATACTACAAAATCCCCATCCTTCCCCACTCCAGGGGAACAATATTGCAAAATTTCCATTCCCACCCCACTCTGGGCCAGCCAGAGGTGGCAAACTACTCAAAATTTCCGCTATTGGTTCTCCGAACTGCTCAAAATTTCCACTACCAGTTCTCCAAACTATGTAGAATTTCTGCTATCGGTTCTCCGAACTACTTAGAATTTCCGCTACCAGTTCTCCAGAACCTGTCAGAACCTGCTGGATTTCACCCCTGGTTCAGTCCTAGGTGGAAGCAGATATTTCTCTCTCTGGACACGATGAGAATATATCTGCTGAATATGATTCCGCATTGGCGACAGGAAGGGCATCCGGCCAGTAAACACTCAGCTCCATTCAGTTGCCCAGACTCCACCCCGCAAGGGGTCATTAAAAGAAGATGATAAGAAAAGGACTCAGCTATGTCAAGAACTCTACAGGGTTGGGCTGATGGACAGCCCATGGAAGTGGGGATAGATGCATTGCACCTCGACAGATATTTTGCATAGGATGAAGGTGTCGATGTGCAAAGACCAATCATGAAAGGAAGAGAACTTTGGAGAAACATCTCCAAAATAAAATCAATCTGAGTGTCAACAAGAGTTCACCTGTGAAATGACAGCCATGGGATTCGTTGAGATTCCTCCCAATCAAGTTCTGTGTGTTGGGTCAACACAGCCAGCTCTAACTCCACATAATTTACACCCCAATCATGACGGTTTCCTCCCTTCTCCCCCCACCCCCGAGTGTGTCATCAATCACATTCGCCAACGGAGCAATTTCACGGGTTGTAGAGACCACTCCCCTCCGGCCGCTGTGGGTAACTCTGGGAGACAACCTTGAGAGAGATAAGTCTGGAATGTGCATCTCTCTTTGGTTGTCCATTCTGTTTCCTCGGTTTCCCATCCTCCCTTGCCTACGGCAACTCGAGAGCAGTCCAGGGATGCTTTGCGAGTTGACACCATGGACCTCCTAAAACCAGGCGACCAATACGATGCCCACCAGGTCCTCGGACTTTGATGGCCATCGCTGCCAAATGGCCCCCGTAGGACACGGGATTTGGGGATCCACAGTCCAAGGCGCCTGAAAAGCTAGGGCTTGCAGCCTGTAGGGTGCCAAACCCCAGAGGGCCACCAGAGGGCAGCAAAGCAACGCAAGAAAGGGATTTCTTTGGTGCCCTCCTGTGGTTTTCTCCAGTTTTGCCACCCTTTGAAAGATAGGTTAGCCGCAAGCAGATAAACCCAGAGGAAGTTTAAGGCTTGGGTGGGGTGAAAGAAGAACGGATGTAATCTAGACTTGCACACCTCCTGGACCACAAGCCTATCAACCCCACCCCATCTTAGTATCTTGTGTGAACTTGCCCCCCCCCCGGCTTCAGAACCAGGAATGGTGGCTTGTTGAAGCCCCATGGTGTGCGACCTTTGTTTTCCATGCTGCCTGGCAGGCTGGTCTGTCTGTCTCCTGCCCACTCCACTCGCCCATAAATCTGGTTCCCCCCACTCCACCCTCCCCCCGGGCCATGAGATCCTAAGCCAACCCTCCTTCGACGCTTCCGCGCAAGAAAAAGGCGACCATGGAGAGCGCAAACTTCGCGTATTTTGACAGCCGATTGCCTGGTGCGCCCTGGCGCAGCGGTGGGGGAAGCCCGCCTGGCAGGAGAGTTGGGGGGGCGGGCGGTGGGTGGGTGGGTGGAGCGTGGGGGGGGTGGGGTGATCCGAGCGGAGCCTGCGCTGCTTTGCAGAGCTCTTAAAAGGGCAGCTGGAGATTAACGGGGCCGCCAGCGCCAGGCGCTTTTGGAGAGGCGATCGCGCGTGCGATGCTGCGGGTTCCTTTGGCCAAGCTGGTAAGTGGTTGTTTGGAGAGCGAAGCCCCGTCTGCCTTGGAGCCAAGAGAAACCCCCGGTTGGGGGCGGGGGACAACTCTCTACAGGAAGGCGGAGAGAGAGAGACGCCCTCCGACTCTCCCACCCCCATCCCCCTTGCCATCCTCGCCCTTTTCCCAGGACGCGCCCTTGGCACTGGTGGGTACCCCCGGGGCGCGCGCGGCTGGCAAAAGAGGCTGCCCGCCGCGTCCTCTCTTTCTCTCTCTCTCTCCCTCCTCTCTCTCTCTCTCTCTCTCTCTCTCTCTCTCTCCAAAACCGCAGGCTCTTTTTCCGCATCCCCCTGGCGCCCTCTTTTCCCTTGGCACCGGGCACCGCTGCCCTCGCCTGCCCTGCCCAGCCTTTTCCCCTCCTCCTTCTCCCCCCCTCGACCGCTTGCTAGGAATGAATCGCCGCAGATAGAAGTCGGGTGGGGAGGGATGTCTCTTTTCCCCACTGCGCTTTGGAGAAAAGACTCTGGGGCATCCTTCTCTTCCCTCTTCTGCCCTCCTGGCCCTGAGCTCTCCTCCCGTCCGCGCGGATTTTGGGTGGTTCAGCTGTTAAATCCTTGTTAGTTGATTTCTTTCTTTCTTTCTTTCTTTCTTTCTTTCTTTCTTTCTTTCTTTCTTTCTTTCTTTCTTCTTTCTTTGTCTTCTCTTCTTCTTCTTTCTTTCTTTCTTTCTTTCTTTCTTTCTTTCTTTTTGCTAGAAAAGGGGACAAAATTATTCCTAATGGTAATCCATGGCTTTCCTCTTAAGAACGTTGGGCGCCAGCTTTTGAAAACAGCTGTGGCTCGCCAGATGTTGCCAGACTACAACTCCTAGCATCCTCTGCTGGGAAGAGAGGGGGTTTGCTGGGAATCGTAGTTTCACCGGCAAAAAAAAAAAACAAAAAAACTGTGGTCTGTTTCCTAGCCCTGAACAGATCACACTTGGGCAAAGTTAGAATTCCCCCGTCTTCTTTTGAGAAATTGGCCAACTGACTTCCTTAATCATCAGTTATGTTAATATTAAACCAGCATAGTTGTCAGGGGAGGGGAGAAAAAAAATGATGAAATGGTTTTGTGTTTCTCTGGTTGTCAACTAGTTACAACAGAGCCGGTGTGATGAAATCTACAGGCAGCTAAGAAATTTAGTTTTGAAATGAGGCTTGCAAAATCAAAGGCCTTCCTTTCTCTGGATAATATATTTACCAATTTGGCATTCTTTTTTTTTAATTATTATTATTTTATTTTTAAACAAAACTTAAAACATAAAACATAAAACAACCATCATCCATTACAACTACAGAAAGTGCATCGATAGGTTACAAATCTTTTGTGCTTCATCCCATATCCAAAATTCTCTTATTTGACAATTTATTATATCCCTTGTATTATTATTCTCATTTACCATTCTTTTATTGCTTTTAAAAAAAAAAAAACCACCAACCTCCTGATTCTGATGACTTGCGTCATGTTCTAATTTTTTTTTTTAATTTGATTTATATGCCCTCCCTTCTCCGGAGACTCAGGGCGGCTTACAAGGCATTAAGCAATATCCTTCATACTTTTGTATATTTTATACAAAGTCAGCTTATTGCCCCCACAAACCGGGTCCTCAATTTACCTACCTTAGAAAGGATGGAAGGCTGAGTCAACCTTGAGCCTGGCGAGATTCAAACCTGAAGTAATTGCAGGCAGCTGG